TTTTCTTAGGGTAACTTCCTAGGTGCAGAATTATTAGGTCAAAAGTACATGCATTGACAATTTTGAGAGACACAATTCTTTCCAAAAGTACTTTACCAATTTACTAATTTTCCTCACATCTTGGTTGTAGCAGGGTATGCACTGCCTTTTTGGTCAGGCGGTAGGATGGATGAGATGCATCTCGTTGTGGTTTTCATCTTCTTGCAAAATTGGAAGTAACAATCAAACCCTGTTTTCATAAACCTCTCCCCACCTGTGAGTTGCCTTTTTCCTTTTTTATCCTATTTTGTTTCTTTTCTTTTCCTTTTTTTTTAAGTTGAATTACTTCTTTTATTTTTTGTTAAAGATTTTATTTGTTTGACAGAGAGAGACACAGCGAGAGAGGGAACACAAGCAGGGGGAGCGGGAGAGGGAGAAGCAGGCTTCCCGCCGAGCGGGGAGCCCGATGCGGGGCTCGATCCCAGGACCCCGGGACCATGACCTGAGCCGAAGTCAGACACTTAACCGACTGAGCGACCCAGGCGCCCACTTCTTCATTCTTTGTTAGTTTTTATGGATTACTTTTAAGGATCATAATTTTTGTCATTTGCATTTAAGAATTTCCCCTAACTTGTCATTTGACTCCATGGTATTTTTCACCATACTCAATGTCGAATTTACCCAATTTTATAAATCCATTTCTTCACGGCTTCCTGATTTTGTTCCTTGTTTGTAAGTGTCCACTCTACACCAAGATTACAAATATATATTTTATTTAATCTTTTTACTTTTTTTGTTATTCTTTGTTGCTTTTGGCCATTATTTTGGGGAACAGAATGAAGAAGAAATCTAGATTTGTTTTTTCCAAAGAGCTGACCAGTTTTCTCAAGATCATTTATTGGATGATTCCCTTTCTTCCTCCTAACTGAAAAAACTCCTCCGATGTCAACTACATTTTCAACACACTATTGTAGGTGTGTATTCTGTTTAATTGATTTGTCTGTAGAAATTCAGCAAGTTTTAATTGTGAATAAATCGGTCTAATACAATTATCCTGCTTTAGAGCTTCAGCGTTTCCCTCACGTACATTGCTGAGGGAGAAACTGCCTTTTCTCAGCATTAGCCTAGCACGTTTTCTTTCCTTCCGCACAAAGGCAATACAAGCGTTAGATGAATTTCCCCATGTTCAATGATTTACAGAGCTGACCAGGAGAGATCCAGGCCCCAGGAGTTCTCCTTTGCAAAGTTTGGAGGGCACTGGCCTTTTTCTGAACGCCTGGTTAATAATCCACCCAGCTGACATCCCTGTGGTTACTGTGGGCAGGTCTACACTGGACATTTGAGGAGTCTCCAAATAAATATTCTTGGTTCAATAAAGAACAGCTTTAATAAGCAGACAACATTAATCTTCCATGATTTATCTAACCTTTTACGTAAGCTTGCAAACTAATGATGCAGCAAGATAACAGAGTTACTTTTTCTGTATTTTTCAGTATCTGTTGAATGTAGGGGAAATCAAAACATCAGTCTTAATCAGTTCTTATATTCTCTGCATTTAATGAAATTGGGGATTGACTACTTTGTTAATGAAAACTAGGAATCCCTCTAGCTGCAGCAGATCCCTCTTGCCTGAGGATCTGGTCCTCTCAGGCCCGGGCACCCATAATGGGGCCTTGACCTGGGGGGGAGAAAGCAGGAGTCACTTTTGAACTGGAACAACTGTCAAAGGTCACAAGTGTTTTAGCGTGGAAACATCTTTTTTGCATGTTTTCTGTGGGTCATGCTTTTAAAATAAGTTCATTGTGAAGTCCTACAAACTCATGACAGGCAACAAGCTTTATCTCCGGTTCCTCCAGGACAACACAGCACAGAGAGGCTGAGTAAACTGTCGAAGGTCAGACAGGTAGCATTGCTGGATTTGGATGCCCGTGCTTGGGTGTCGGGCTCATCTGGCCGCGCTCTGAGTCAGCGGGGCCTCCAGCGAGGCATGCCGATTGACACCGACTCCATGTTCTCAAGGAGCTGGTGGTCTTCCCAGGGGTATGAAAGGCAAGGAGTAGTTTACATGTCAGAAAAGGTTTTTTTTAAGGTGAGAAAAGAATTCTTTTTTTTTTTTTTTTTTTTTTTTTTCGTTTAATACTTGAACTGGTTACTTTCAAAGGTGGAAAACCTCTTTGGGTGTTGTTATTACGCAAGAGTGAGCGCATGTGACTGCTCATGTTATTCCAGGGTTAGTTTAAATGCAAAACAGATGAAACCTCACTGGCCCTAGCTGTTAAGTCCTTTCACGCTTGTCTGTTCCTTGATAAAACTGTGAACGTTCAAGCGAGGTCGTACGGAGTTGAGCAGGTAGAGTTCTAGAGATTCCCAGGTTACTCATGTAGAGCACTGCACCAGGGGTACCTCCTCCCCCTCTGTGATGCAGGCTGTAAATCCCAGGTATTCAACCTTTCCATGGCCAGGTGGCAGTTGGGCCCTGGGAGGTCTGCCCCCCAGGGTGCTGATGACTTCCTTGATGACTGGCCACGTTTACCCTCAGGAACTCCAGGGCCAATGCTTAATCTATGATCGTCCGATAAACGTCCCCTCTCCCACCCCCAACCCTCCTGTTCCTGAGCGTTGTGTTTGTCCCTGTCCCGAGATCTCAGAAGTGCTTTCCCAAGCCTGACATCCCACCACGTGCAGATATTCAGATTCACATGGGGTGGCCCAGCCCGACACGGAATCTCATCTGGTGGGCAGGAACACACAGCAACCCACCGCCCCGAAGTGAGAGTCAGACTCAGGCTCCGAAATCAGAGGCACACTTAGAACAGGTGCGCATGCATCAGCCTCTGTGAGTCACTAGGTGTCTCGCTCAGTGTCATCAATTATCAAAGTGACTTTGGGGAAAATCAGCGGGATTGTAATACCGGTAGTTCAGGAACAGAGAGGTCTAAGCGACTGTGGGATAGTTGTGCAGAACAACTAATTGTATTCTCCAATCATGGCAATATGGAGTAACATTTACAAAGAGTTTTAAAAAATCGTCTGTAGGGTGCCTGGGTGGCTCAGTCGGTTAAGCGACTGCCTTCGGCTCAGGTCATGATCCGGGAGTCCCGGGTTCGAGTCCCGCATCGGGCTCCCTGCTCGGCGGGGAGTCTGCTTCTCCCTCTGACCCTCCCGCCTCTCGTGTGCTCTCTCTCTCTTTCATTCTCTCTCTCAAATGAATAAATAAAATCTTTAAAAATAATAAATAAATAAATAAATAAATAAATAAATAAATAAAAATCGTCTGTAATCCCCAATCCAGCAATGCCCCTGACATTATTTATGTGAGAATACAATGGATTCTAAAAGCTTGAGGGGGATGCAAGTGGGTCCCTCTCGCGGCCTTTGCCCCAAAGACCGCTGCCCACTGCCATCGGCGACTCTCACTTACCCCGGGAAGGTTCTCTAAGTGCAGATCATGCTTTTCAAAATGGAAACAGTTGGGATCACACTGCCTATTAGACACTTTAAAAATTAATCCCTTTTGGAAATTCTTATAATAAAAATCATCAATGGGCAGATTCTGAGCCTATTCTGATTTTGTTGGAATCCTTATGCTCCACTTCCTAGCCAGGTTACCTTGGAATCAGAAGTGAATCACTGCACCTTTCTTTCTTTTCTTTGTTTTTTAAAGATTTTATTTATTTATTTATTTGAGAGAGAGAGAGAGAGAGACAGCGAGAGAGGGAACACAAGCAGGGCTGTGGGAGAGGGAGAAGCAGGCTTCCCGCTGAGCAGGGAGCCCAATGCAGGACTCGATCCCAGGACCCTGGGATCATGACCTGAGCCAAAGGCAGATGCTTAATGACTGAGCCACCCAGGCACCCCTCGCTGCACCTTTCTATTTAACTCACCCTCGAGAGGAGACTAATACAGAATCACAGAACTGTAGTCAGAGATTTCAGTGAGGTATCTATCATACAGACGACGTTGGTCCAAGTTGCAGGAACTCGAGACAAAATATTTAATTATGATTATCAGCTGCACACAATTATCTGATCTGTTTAATGTTGTGTACTCTTCAAATATGTAGGTATGCTTTAAAAGTATTACCCTGAATTAATTGGTAAACATTTTATTTATTTTTATCATTTGTGTTTGTACATTTATGTTACTGCACACAATGCTGCAATATACAGTCATACTTACTGGTCAGTGTTGGAGAAGCGCCTACAAGAAGCACTTGGTAAGAATTCCAGAAGGCTGAATCCTTAGAACTGATCACACACTTTCAGAGTCTTGGACGTGGTGGGAGCCGTGGCGGGAGGCGTGGCAGCCCGTCTCCTGGCTCTGCCCCAGGGTGCGTTTTTCCAGAGTGTCATGCTGTGTGGGTTCTCCAACACTGGTTATTACCAGTTTTGAAAATATTTGTCACTTTAAAAGGTAAAAAGCAGTCCCTCAATTTTGCCTCCTTTATGATTGCTTTAGTTTTCTTTATGGTGTGTTTACTCTGCAGACATTTTTAGTGTTTTTATGAGTTAGTTTTTTTCCTCTTTCCATGATACCTTGCTGAGAAAGACTTTCCTGATAACTTCAGTAAATTCTCTTGTGCTTTCTTCTGGATTATTCTTAAGTTCCACTTTTATATTAAGTGTCGCAAAATATTCAAGTTTGAAAGGAGTTGCGCAAATGACTCTGTTAGGATTGAAATGTTCTCTTCCTGTGTGGGGCCTCCCGTGTACCCCCGCTAACATCTGAGTCTGTGTAGGTGAGCTTTCTCCTCCATCATGTGGTCTGAGTTCCCCCCCGTTAGTATATTGGGAGCTCCCTCTGTTCCTGGCATCACGTCATGGAACACCTGCACACAGATCTTCCTGAGCGGATGCAGATGGGAAGGCTCAGCGATGGGTCTTCTCCAGCCTCATCCCCAGCCCAGGTGTTGGAGGGAACAGCGTGCTTGTGAAGGAGTAAGAAAGACGTGATGCTGGGAGAGGGGGCGTCCTCTGGTCAGACGGTATAACTGCACTTTCTCTTTTCCCCTCTGTGTCCAGTCTGGCATGATAAGAACACAAGAAGCAGATTACTTCCTAAAGCCGCTTCCTTCACACCTAGCGGGGAGACTGCAGGACCCCACCGGGGCTGGGCCCCCCTCCCACATCCTGTACAAGAGATCGGCAGAAGTGCGGGCTCCGGGGGCTCCCCAGGCCGTCATGACCGAGAGGGATCGGGAGCTGGGGAGTCCACACCTGCGTGGCGGCTCCAACCTTCGGCACCCACCAAAGCAGCATTTCTGTGGAAGACGCAAGAAATGTATGTAAGGGCGATTCCTTTTGCGCATTTACCCATTCAGACCTTTATGTAAGCCCGTGGAATGTTTTAAATGTTCTTCAGAATAGTCTGCCTACGAGGTGGAATTAACAGACCGTCTTTGCTAAACTTAACATAACGATTCCATCGTCTGCGTGTTCAGTGTGCACTGTCTCTCATGGTGGATGGACAGATCATGGTAGGTTTTTTGTTTAAAAGAACCGTTCCCTGGGTAGATGAAATGACATACTGCCCAGAAATGCAGAATCCACTGGATGTCTTCAAAAGAACCTGGCATGTCTGCTCAGTAATTCTATCATTTTGAGGTCTAGATTTATGAAAGCCCACATAGTTTTCTGCAAGGTAATTTATCTCCATACATATTTATATTCTCTGCTCCACCACATCAAAAGGACAGGCTAGGCATGACCTAATTTACCCACAATTTATCACCAGCGTTTTGTGGAAGTCCTTTGTTGTGTAGTGAGCACTCAGGAGGTGATGTGATAGTCACATTTTATGTGGGAGTCTCTCACAGTTCAGGAATGGGAGGGCAGTGTTTCCTGGAATTTCTCTCACATCCCTCAGCTTCCCCTCCAGCACCCCTGGATGCATTAAACTTCCCCCCATGAACCCGTCTTCTGCCAGCCCTTCTTCACCACTTGTTTCGTTGGCTGCTGCAGCCAGCACCCTAAAATGGAGACTGTCGTGTTGCAGGTGGAATAGAGCAAATGACGGCAATAAGAGCAGCAAGTACTACTGAACTGTCAGCACCTGTGTGTCGTCTGAACTCACGCTGTCCTGCAGATAAAAGCCTTGTGCTACATTCACGTGAAACACCCAAACCCAGATCGACTAAGTCAGGGGGTTCAGTCAGCAGCAGGAAGCAAACAGAGGGGAACAGGAGTCTGAAAAGTCAGGGAGACAGGTGGAATGGGTATCGGAACAGGGTGTCAGCATCAGCACTGGCTGCCTGGGGCTGCCTGGACAGGCTGCAGCAGAGGGGTCGGCGGCAGGGGCCGTGGCCGGGCGGTCATAATCAGACGTGAGAAGGAAAGGGACACAAAGCGCCTCTTGGAAGACATTAGTGATCCATATGGTGTGGTTTGGTTTGCCAGAGATTTCTGCCCCTTCCCTGCTGGGCACACGGCAGTTCTGTGCGTGGCCGGGGGCCATGTGACTGGCAAAAGTGGCGCATGCTGCTTCCAGGCTGAAGCCTGTCATTCTTGAGACCTCTGTACCCCGTGCGTGGATGTTTCGATGTTGTTCACGGGGCTTTTTTTTTTTTTTTTTTGCGCTTCCCTGCAGGAATCCCACCCTTCTGCCTCCGTGGGGCTCACACGTACAAAGATTCTTCCCACTGGAGTCTCTGGTTCAGAAAATGGGCATTTCTGGGTGTATGTTTAGGCACCTGTGGGAAGGGGCCCTCAAAGGCAGACTGATTTGCTTAAAATCAAGGGTGAAGCTGAACCACAGGCTCAGGCACCATGCTGCCAGATTGGACACCCACTTCTGACACTTTCTAGGGAGGGACAGTGAGCAAGGGACGTTCCCTCCCTGTGCCTCAGTGGCCCCATCTGTACCTGGAGCGGGTGTAGAGACGGCTCGTAGGGTGGAGTCATGTCTCTGCAAATTACCAACATCTGTGGCATGCGATGAGTGCTTTAATAACTTGGCCAGAGTTGTGATTATCTTCCACAGGGTTCATTTAGGTTGGAGAGTATTTTAGCAAAGAGATAAGATGCACCGGATGTGGATACCGGTCAAACAAAATAGCATCTTCTAGCTGCACAGTCCGTGAATAGAGTTGGCACAGCTCTGAATTAGTGCCACCTAGATCTATGGGTAATTTAAGGTCTACTTTGACATGAAAAGCTTTTCTGAGGCATCGACTCAACCTAATTGCCTTTAACACAGTGTTAACTTACCGATTATAAACGCCCAAACTATTTTTAAATGGCTCCGAGAGGACAGAGTATGTTCTGTCTTGTAACTAAATGAGGTAAATATTTAGGGTGCTTTCTAGGAAATTCAGCTCTGCCGTGAAGTGGATCTGTGTCACATAGTTTGTAACCCATTTGAAACACGACAGGCAAACCAGTTATGCATCCAGACGTGGGAATCGGCTTTAAAAAGAATCAAGCCATTAAAATCTTTCAAATAAGCAAATGAGGCAAAGATGGCGCTGTGTTCTGTGACTTTCGGTTCTACTGCTTTGTCAGTAAATGTTCTGCAGAGACCCCGTCCTGAAACCTTATGCCAGTGGTCTTTGAGCTTTGTGCTTCTGTGGCTGGAACATGAGAGTGTAGGGGTCCTCTGTCTTTGTTTTAAATCCGGACAAAATTACACAGAGAGAGACACAGTGATGGCTTCCATCACATCTAGGTTACATGAAATTTATTTACAGTTCAAGTCCCACTTTGGTACAAGTTTTGTATCACAAATCTTAAGGGTTATATCGTTCATACATGAAGGTTCATTTTGCAAATCCAGTTTCTGTATAACAAGTTCCACTGCTGGTTTGGGGGTACGACTTTTGCTTTCGTTTGTTCTCGGAACATCCCCTCCATAGACATGCCCAAGCCTCCCAAGGAGGACCACTTCATCCTGCCTGACGAGTACACGTCTTGCTTACGGCACAAGCGCTCTCTCCTGAAGTCCCATAGGAACAAAGAGCTGAACGTGGAGACGTTGGTGGTGGTCGACAGAAAGATGATGCAGAACCACGGCCACGAAAATATCACCACCTACGTGTTGACCATACTCAACATGGTAGGAGAGTCCTTCTTGTTGAAGCCACATGTGTAATTCCCCCTAATGGGGTGTGTGCATTATGTCTCACATGCAGGAGATATTTTATCTCTGGTGACTCCTTCACTCTTACTGTGCTCCAAACCTAAAGAGCCGTGTTCAGAACTTCAGAGAACACTATAAGGAGGGGAAACAGTCTGGCCCTCTCTGTGAGCCAGGGGCATGTTTTGGTGGGTCAATGTTTTCATTTACTAGAAATCTATAAGAGGATGCTGAGACTATTTAGTGCAGTAAATCGGCTTATGAGTGATTTTAGAGGGCTATACAGAAATACCCACTTCTTTAGGAACATTAAAGTTTAACTACTGCATATATATTATTTTATCTACAAAGTCAGAAAAACCTACAAACTTATAGGCTACCATCGTGGGTAAAATGTCCCGTGTCCCAGATTGGCAGCTGTTGTGATGATGAGAAGCATCTGAACCCCACATGGGTGACTAAGTAACACGTAAATAACGGAAGACAAGATCCCAGGTCACATGAGTGTGGTTTGAAAACGAGTTGGGATGACGATGTTTTGGAAAACACACTTTGCATTCCACCTCAGCACCCCTGAACGTGGGTGTCGTTGCTGGCGTCCCGTCTGGCTGCCTGCCCCGCAATAAGGGTTCCACACTTGCTCTACCTGGCCCTTAGACATTTCTGTGCCTGTCCGTCTGGCGGCATAAGAAAGGCGGCATTGCTGTGTCACGAGAGCATGGGGACCCACCGTCCCTGGCAGGACTCTGGGGATGGGGGAAATGGCACCACGTGTGGGGCCTGACAAAATTGCCGTCTTTTTCAGGTGTCTGCTTTGTTCAAAGACGGAACGATAGGAGGAAACATCAACATTGCAATCGTAGGTTTGATCCTTCTAGAGGAAGAACAGGTAATCTGCCTTTGAAGCTGCCACCTTTCCTCCCAGAAAAATAAATGCAAAGTGAGGCTTTTATTTTTCCCCCTCAATGTGATCCTTCTGTGGATTCTTGACTTTTCTCTCACTTGGGAACAAAAGTGTTTAATGTTTTGTGTCTAATGCAATGAGTTTCTTATCGGTTCCTTTAATGATTATTTGAATTGTGTGTGTGCGCCTGCACGTGCGCGTGTGTGTGTGTGTGTGTGTGTGTGTGCGCAGAGGTAGTGAGGAATACTCTCTTAGTAGGCATAAGAGAAAATAGAACAGAAGAGCTGCCTTAAACGTATGTGTGGGACCCGCACTGTGGATACGAAGTGCACGGTGTGTCTTCAGCCACCTCCCCAACGTGAGCTTTTAGGCTCCCAGGTGGAACTGAGCCCTTTCTGCTCTTTGCTAGAAAACAAAACCTACAGTGAAATCGTGCTGTGGGGCATTGTTGTTTTCCTCTGTCACCTCCTAAGACTGACTGCACTTACAGCCCCTACCAGCTTCGGTCACAGGATTGTGTTTTTATAGAGATTCTGGAATGTCACGTGCCTGTCTCTCATTGCATCCAAACACCTCATTATGGCGGATCTTGGTCGCAGTGGGTAAAAGCGTCTCCTTGCTTCCATGCCAGCGTCCCTGTGTAAGGGCACGGGCATGCACTTCAGTTCACAGGGAGGTTGTACATGCACATTCTGTAGCACAGGTAATGGGGGTATCTCAACCATGCAGGACTCTCGCTTCTGCCTGGCCCCAAGCTGATCGCTGGCTCCGCACCGGAGGAGTGAGCTTCCCTTGCTGACATCTTAGCGGGGTCCCCCGTTAGCTATGGTTCTCTTGTTCATAACACAGAATTTTTTTAGCTGAAACCTGAGATCACTCATAAGACCTAAGATGCCTCCAGAAGGGGAGCTTCTGCGGTGTTGCTCTTTTTCTAGACAGTGGGGGCCTGCAGGGGCAAGCCTGTTTCTAGCCCGAGTGGTCAGGAAGATGCAGCTTCATTGTCTTTGTGTGAGTGAGCGTCTGGGCAGGGGCTGCTCAACTGGCAGGGCGTCTCAGGTGACAGGTTAATTATTCGTTGTATTAAATCGGTTTCACCTTGGAATTCATCCAAGCTGCAAAGAATAAGCGAGGTTATCTTTTGATCGTACACCTGGGTTAACTCTGATTAATGCGGTGTTCCTGGAAATCACCTGCTGAAGAATGTGAGGCCTGTCCCAGTGCTGATGCACAGCAGTAGACTTAGGTGCACTTGACTCTCTGCAAAGACGAAATAAGCACTGAAGGAGAAAACCTATCCAGTGAGCGAGAAACGCACATTTCAACCCAACATCTAGTCATGAGCGCTTTACTCAAGTTGTCCTGGAATCACGCTGTTTAACCTGGCTTGGAGCCACGGGAAGAAATAGCAACAAAGTTCAAATAACTCATTGCAGCCTGCTCTGGTGGGTGTTCCTGACCCCCCACTTCTGAATTCCCCTGACACTTCGCTGTTGCTGTGTTAGAACGTGGTATATATGCATCTGGTGGGATGTATCCTGCATAGTTTCCTTCTGGCTCCTGTCTGTTTTCTAGAAAGAGAGCTTTACCAGTTGACCTGCCCCTTCTCATAGCATGTTGCTTCCGTAGGAAAGTGACTTAATTTAACACTCTCATGATAAATGGTAAGAGTTATAAATCAGAAATCCCAGGTGCCCAGCTTGGTTATGAAATCAACCATCTAGGTGTGTTTTTGTGCATGTGCAAAACCACATATAAATGGTTCTGTTGCCTTATATAAGTTTAAAAAGTGTTTTACAAAGATTTTGATGCAAACCTTGCATGCACGGGGAGTCATCTTTCTTGGGGCATTGAAAATGCCTTCGGGGTCAGCTAACAACATCCCAGCTGTTTTTGTACAGAACTACAGAAATGAACAGAAGTGTCCACCCTGAATCCATTTTATAGAAGACACCCTCCTTTGGATTTTAATCCACGAAATGGGTCTATCAGCTTATAGGCCATCTGGACCCATCTGTGTAGTTGAAATCCCAGTTACTGACACGCTGATGACAGTGAAGTTAACAACTGGCTTGTGACGTGTTTTCTCTCTGTTGTCATGGGGGTCTTGGTCTGTCTTGCGCAGCCGGGGCTCGTGATAAGCCACCATGCGGACCACACGTTAAGTAGCTTCTGCCAGTGGCAGTCTGGATTGATGAGCAAAGACAGCACGCGCCACGACCATGCCATCTTGCTGACGGGCCTGGACATATGTTCCTGGAAGAATGAGCCCTGTGACACCTTGGGTAAGACCCTCCCGCGGCGTTTTGAGGAGCCTGTGTGGGCTGTGCACTCTTGGGGGCCCAGGACATTGAGGATTTGCCCCTCATTGCAAATCCATGGTGGTAGCCGCTGCTGAATACAGCTGAAAGCACAGATGTGCTTCCCTGGCAGTACTTTGGCCAAGCATAAGTGTGTGTGTTTATTCACCCAAAGTGAAGACTTCACAAGGAACGGTCCCTCATACATTCAAGAGTTCCTGTCTCTTTTAACTTAAGAAAGAGTTTCTCTCTTTTCTTCTCCCATGTGCCAGAACGAGGTGAACAGATTCAAGGATGTCCCATTCTGTGGCTTAGAAACAGTACATTTATGAACGTTTGCAGAGATGTTATAGTGATATTATATTCTCCATTTTTCCTTTGCTTCATAAATACTGCAATCTTAGCAGTTTTTTAACATGTCTGTGAGGCTGCGCATATCTTGGAGGCAGGACTTTGATCAATTTTTTCCAAATAGTGTAAAGCACACTGTGCTACTGACCAGGGTTCTCTTGAACATTTTCTCTAACTCTGCATTTCTTTCTGTGAACTTCGTCAGCTAGAGCTCAGTCAAATAGAGGTTAATCGTGACTGCTTGTTCCTGGAAAGGCCGGCTTACAAGGTGGGCCCTGGCTGGACTCTGAGAACCAGACTTCAGGGTGCTTCCCGCACCCTGCTTGATGACTCACAGGCTCACTGTACCTGCACCGCTTGCTTGTACGGATAATGGGGTTTCCACGGGACATCTGCTTTCCTTCTGGGAGTCTAGAGTTTGGGTCCACGCCATGCAGGGCTGCTATGCCATCAGCCCCGGATTAGAATCCTTGGGTCCTGAGTCTCTAATGAGCCTGCCTCGTGTTTCTGGGGGAGTGAGGTGCATCCTGTGTGGATCCACTGGGAGAAGGCGCTGGAAACTCTTGCATGGTTTCCCCCAAGCCTCTCCCCTTGCACGCCTTCTCATTACTGATTTTGTCCTGAATCCTCTGGCATCTGTACGAAACTCTACCTGACAGTATGACAAAGCCTGAGTCCTAGGAATCCCTCTGGCGAATCCTTGGACCTGGGCTGGTCTTGGGGACCTCCTGACGTACCCATGCGCTACAGTACTCTTTTATTCAGGCTTCCGAGAACACAGATTTTTATGTAAAAAGGTAGAGATTCTTGTCCGTCTATAGGGAATCCCCTTTTCTACTCCACCCCAATTACAACCTGTAACATGAACACCACATAGAGCCGTGAATTATTGTCCATGTGGAGAGCAGGTCCCCTTCAGTCACATTGCAAAGAACCCCTTATGTGCTTGTCCAAGAGTTTCCCATTCAGATTTCTTTCTCTATTTTATTGTAATAACACTGCTGTATATTCTTTTGACCTCTACGCCCTGTAGGATTTGCGCCCATAAGTGGAATGTGTAGTAAATATCGCAGCTGCACAATTAATGAAGATACGGGTCTTGGACTGGCCTTCACCATTGCCCATGAGTCTGGACACAAGTAAGTGCATCCCGTGGGAAGCTGGATCCTGGGCTGCCTTCCCCACTGGATGGTTGCCATAGAAACGCTGGTTCATTAGGTCAAGTCTGTATGGGGCATCACATATATCCAAGAAGAATGTCACCAACAGGTAGGACATGGATCCCTTAGGTACTTCTTATGTTTCTTTTGTTTTGTTTTGTTTTGTTTTTTTAAGCAGGCTCCATGCCTAGCGTGGAGCCCAACATGGGGCTTGAACTCACAACACTGAGATCAAGACCTGAACTGAAATCAAGAGTCAGACGCTGAACCGACTGAGCCACCCAGGCGCCCCTTCTTAAGTTTTTATTTTAGTGCCAAGCCATGCACAGTCTAAAGCCATGGCGATTCCCACATTTACGATCTCTGCCCTCTGCTCTCCCCTCACGTCCCGGCTCATGCGTGCATGTACGACTGCACACAGCTGTCTCAGCCTCTGCTCCTCTGTCCTGTTCTGAACTTGGGTCCTGCACGCTGATCTCATTCCATGGTCAGTTCCTATTGGGGATGATAGTGACAAGGCCTCCTCTTGTCTAATAGTTACTCTGGAGTTTTGTGTTCTTATATCACTTCTATAATTTGTAGAGATGTCTTTTGATTGGAATGCCAAGCAGAGTTTGGAGAATGCAGGTTAGACTAGGGGTTGGGGCTGATAGGAGCTGGTCTGCTGCCCACATTTCCAGATGTCCAGCATAATGGGCAGTGTCAGGGTGCGTGGTAAGCCTGGGCTTGGCGCAGCTGGACGTCAGCGCTGACTGGAGCACTCAGCAACTGGTGGCTTGTCATTGGTGGCATCTTTCTACATGAAAATGTTACATTTGTTCCTGTAGAATGAACACTTTCTATCAATTACTTATAGACGCTATCATTCTTAAATAAGGTTTCTTGGGCTAATCATTCTATAAGCTGCCTTAGGTCCCGTCTTTGCCTTACTGCGGCCCACCTGCTGACTTCCTGGACTTGGCCCCATCAGCATGAGCTCCAGGAGTGGGAGCGCGGGTGTCTTCCTGCTACATAGCAGCTCTGTTTGAAGTTTCTCCCGGGAATTACCATTTTCCTATTTTTTACATTCACCCTGATTTTACTTGCAAATCACAAAACCTGCAAAAGGCAGTGTTTGTGATTCAGTTTTTGCAGAACTGACCTCTCCATCCCCTTGTAGAAACGGACTGAGGCAATGCCTGTCCTCTCATCCTGGTGTGTGTGTGTGTGTGTGTGTGTGTGTGTGTGTGTGTGCGCGTGCGTCCGTGTGCCTGAGTGTACGTCGCGTATGTGCACCTGCCTGTAGCGTGGTCCCGTGAGGCCCTGCAGACTGGCTGTATGAACTGATGACCTGAAAATGAAGCTTATACCCTGCTTCTGATCCCTTCATTATAGGTAATGATTGACTTTTTCAGTGCCTAGAAAATTGCTCCTACAATTTATGAAGCTTCCAGTTAAATCATAATTGTATTTCTAATAGGCTGCTACCGTTAAAACTTCAAAAACTCTCATTATGTTAACGACATGAGGCTCTGGCTGTCCCCTGAACCATACCTGAATTTAATTAAACAATCCAGGTAAGAAATGTTTAAGTCACCGAGGGCTGAGCAGCTCAGTATTAAGTGAAGGGATGTAGTTCGGCACTGGCCGTGCACACAGCTGCAGGTGGTGGGTCTACCCAGAGTCAAACTGGATACCTCAGAGAAGGGTCTTCAGTGTCAGCAAGGATCAGTGTCTCCTTTTATTTTTTCTTAGGAGTCAATTAATACTCCCTTTCATCACCAGGACTGGGTCTAGAAGGAAAAGGTATTTTTCCAAACATGGTAACAGTGTTTTTATTTCAAGTGGGACTGTGGAGGGGAAGAAGGAAATGGGCTGTAGGTTGGGATGAAAGGGAGTCCTGCTCCTCATAGGCTTCAACTCCAGAAAATAATCAGCTCCTTCTTGAGCGCTTGATGTTAAGAGGGCATCATGCAACAAGCAGGACCTGGGAGCTCTGAACATACCACATCACCAGTGAAGTCGCTTCCGATCCTATTGCGGAAACAGAAAGTGCACGCGGGAGATATGCAAATGAGTCATGTGTGCCACATGCACGATGAGCGACCACAGTACTAATAGTAATAACGGCAGTAGTAATAGTATCACTTGCTGTTCGTGGAACACTTTGTGAGATTTGCAGAGCGATCTCACGTGCAGCTCAAGCTGGGGAGACCGCAGGGGACACTCCTCTGCCCGCTCCACCAGGCTGGTGGGCACACGATGCTGAGGGTTCAGCGAATGTAAATGAATAGAACGGACAGAGTGAGTCAGGGATGAGCAGATGGATGAACGAAGAGTATTTTGGTGAGTCGTTTGCTGTGGCAACTACATGAAATGGGAAAAGCATGCAAGGTTCAGTGATTTAACCCCATGGATTTTTGTTGAATTGAATTGAAAATGAGCACACTTACTCAGTTCGCTGGTTTAATAAGTATTACTTCTTGGAGGAGAGTTGTCACTTGGTACATGGATCAAACATCATAACATAAACAGCAGACCTGGCAATGAACTCCAAGCGGGGTCAAATTTTGAGTTCTGCGCCTTAAGAATTTAAAAGTGATCATACATCTATTCGGACTTTATAAAACATCCTGCTTTAGAGGTTCGTTTTACTTTTTCAGGTTTGTTTACATTCAGAGGATATCGCTGAGGTCAGAGGCATACTTTTCTCCAGGCCTTTCAACCAGAGGTTTTCTAACCTTTAACTCAGAGAAGGATCTCTGTAAATGTCAGCCAATTTCTTCTACTGAGTCCAATTATTTTCATGTCCGGACATCTTGTGGTTTCTATGGAGGACTCTGACCTGCACATAGAAATCGCTGAGACCCAGGGTTTGGATTTGTGTTGGAAAAGGGAGGGAGACAGGACCAGGAGTGAGGATGTGTATTCTCCTTTAGGATGTGGGATTCGGTCAGGCTTGTTCCTAAGCCAGTGGTATAGGGTGTTTCCTGGTCGTATTCGATCACTTGGCATAGGATCTGCTAGAGGCCGATTTCGAGAAATGGTACAGACATGTTGAATGTTGAACTATAGGTTTTGGAGAATATGGCCCCTGAATGGCATGATTCCATTTGAAAAATTCCCATGTACTAAGGAAGTCATGCCATTTGAGGAGTAGGACCTTAGGCCTGGGATTCTGGATCCATGCAGTTCTCCCGAAGAATGGCAGCAACCCGTGTGCGCTCTGCCTTTTCTTCTCTTACCTAAGCTTCCCTCTGCAAAACCAAGAGAGTCCAAGATCCTCGGCATGATTGTGCAGGTGCAATTTCAGGTGTACTACTTGAGCTGAGCATTCCTAACATACAACCCTTGCTTAAATGCTTAACTTGTGTTATCGTTTCAGACCATCAAGACAATATCCAAACATATTGGCTGTGCTTAGAAGTATTCATGACCCATCATTCTGCCACTTGTCTTCTCCCACACGTATTGACCCGTTCACTGGGCATGATTTCCATTCTGCCAGCAAAGCATTGTGTGGGGTTCTATGAAGATTAGTGACTCACCCCCTCCAAGAGTCTTCACAAAGAGACAGAGTAGATACGGTGTGCGCAGATCAGGCTGTGCGGGTGTAGGCATTGCAAGAGACTTAGTCAGGGAGGACCAGGGAAGTCTCGAAGCAGAAGTGGCTTGCTAATACATTTAGCTCTAGCAGGCTTGGCTGGGGAGATGCCCTTTCGAGCATTTGAGGGTGAGGCTGTGCACTATTAGCACCTGAGTCCCGCAGCTGACTTGGGGGCACGAGTGTTGCTGTGGCCTTGTGCAATATCAACTAAAGACCCTCTGGCCGGTGACTGTCAGACTGCCCTCTAGGGAGCCCTAGCAGGGCGGAGGATCATCTCTTACCAGTTGTATTTATTGTTCCTCCTAAGAGTTTTTGTTTCTGTATCCAAAAACATTTGAAACCTATTGACCTTTGGCTGAACACACACACACACACACACACACACACACACACACACACACATCAAACATAAAAGTAAATTCTAGGTGTTGAGTAATTGGAGCAACACCACATTTGAATAAGGAAAAGGATAAAAGTTCTGAATTTTCCTTTGTGATGTGCATAGTGCCAGGTCTTCTGTGCATTTGTAGAGCACAGTTTTATTACCCCATTATATAGGTAAGGAAACTGAGGCCTGACGACTTCAGTAATTTACCTCAAATCCAGCTGCTTGTGAAGGACAGAGGCACGACCCCGATGGATGCCATCTTCAGCCTCTGCTCTTCTGGCTGTTTGACCTGCCCCGGCCCCCGAGACCCATGTGACGCTGTGTCCACGCCAGCTTTCTCCCTCTTGACGGGGGTGTGTTGTGCTCCTTGAAAAGTCCACATCGGAGCTCCAACCCCTAGGCCCACCTGTGGCACCGTCATGGCACCAAGGGTGTGATTTAGCCATCCGGATGGCATTGGCCCGTGGTTACTTCAAAGGGTTTCTTGTTTCCTTAACTACCGCTGTCTGAACAGTCTGAAATACTCAATACCACCTCTAACGAGACATGGCGTTCATCCTTCTGGGTAAATCGTTAGTGATGACAGAATACATGCTGATGCAATTGAATCACTGAAAACATACTGTAGAGAAGTTAAAAGCATTGCACACTGATTATAATTCCCAAGTCCAGTTTAATCTGAAATTATGTTTACATTTGGGTATTTGAGTGGGTGTTATGGCTGGAAGGTTGGTCTTTGTTTATTCAACAAACATCAGTGGAGAACCTGTTATGGGCTAGTGAGCATACTGGCCTGGGGCTGGGCATGGACAAGAAGGGTCTCTGTCCTTCAGAAACTTAAAAGCTAGTGGGTAGGAAAGAAAACAGTATATTTACTGTTTCAACCTATGGGGTGATGAAAATTTTGAATAAAATACTGTGGCTCATGGAAGCAAAGAACACGTCTGGTATGGTGTAACTTGGGTAGTGTTTACATTTCTTGGTTGCCAAATACCAACCTTATCTTCAAAATGTGTTCTTTTCATCCTTCCCTGACTTTATTGGTACTATCAAGTGTGGTCACTGCGGGGTACTTTGACGCGAACGTGCTGACATCCATCACGGTACAATATATGGACACTGAACTACTTGGAAAGACAACTTCGCAATGTAGTCATGCTGAGATTTGGGTGGGCATCAGGATTACCTTATTGTGTTAGAATACACCCAAGTACCAAAGCCTAACTCCTAAGCTACTAAATTAAAAAAAAAAAAATCTACAAGGATGGACTTTGGGGAGCCACACCGAGCTGTGCATTTCTCAGATATTCTGACGCACAGCAGAGTTTGAGAATCAGTTCTAGAAAGAATCATGGAAAATATCTTAGATGAAAAAGTTTCAGACCCCCATGTCCCCAGATCTGGGTTGCTGTGGCTTTCGTGTCCTTAGAAATGTGGGCAGAGTGGTAGCACATTTACCTGGGGCACTTACTGGACCACAGTGCACGTGTCATCTACACAGGTCAAGGGCCCGCCAGGGGAGTGTACTTTGGTTGTTCATTTTCCTAACTTTCTCCCCAAGGCAGATACCTATATGTGATTACAGTCTGAATCCTTTTCATAGCCATGACACATTTCCTCTGCTATATGGTTACCCTGGCCTTGATTGATTGCTTTAATAGAACTTCAGAGGATGGGTGGAGGCTGAAATGACTCCCATCTGCATCACCCTTGGTACTGAGCAGGAATTTTGCAGAAATTCAACAATGTTTGCATGCCAGATTTCCTTGGATACGCCCTTCAATGGTGCTCGTGTTACGCTCTTACCCGGGTCCCGCCTGGGCTCTGATGTCGGAGCATCAGGTTGCAGTCCTGAGTCCGAGACGGTGGACATGGCTTTCTCCAGTCCTCAGTCTTGCTGTCACGATATTCTACCTGCCTTATAGGCTTTTGGGGAGGCTTAAGTTAGAAAATACAGATAAGGTGTTTAATATCCTGTTTGAACACTAGTGAGCGCTTATAAGTGTGAGTTATTTTTACTGATACTATTAAATCTCTATAAGCAAGCCAGTGAAGTGGGGAAAATGTGTTTTCAGCCTCAGCCACAAATACAGATTCCCTAGCCCGTGGTTGGAGCCCCCTTCCCCAGTGTTGGGAGTCTTCTGTCCCTGCTGCCCTGCCTCCTCTCATCATGAGATGCTTGGTGGCCTTCTTGGAATGTCCCCAGACCCAGTAACCATCTTGCCCTGCTTTGCTTTGGGCCTCCTTGCCTTCCCCTTTGCTCTGTACCCCACTCCTGTGGAACCCCATTATCTAAGAATCCATCCAGTGATTTGGCAGCTACCAGACGTTAATGGCCAACAATGGCTCCACCCTCTAAGAATATGTTTGCTTTCATGGGAAGTCTTCAGGGTCATCTCGGACTCCCAAATCGCCCAGGCGTTCTTCCCAAGCCATTAGTTGTGCTCTTTCTAGGGTAGATGAAAATGGCAGCGTGAAACACTCCTACAGCCAAAGCTCTAGGCAGTTAAGAAGAAGCTGACTTGGTAAAGAGACGTAGCAACTCGGTTCATGGCATTCTTATAGGTGTAGGGCTAGAGTTTTCTCAGGTGACAGTGAAAGGGTGCCAATTGGCACATCTGTAAAGGACCCTATTAAGTACCCCAAGAGCCAATGAGGCTTGAGATGGCGCCTTCTACTCACCTAGGGCTGGTGCCCCAGAGTAGTCTGGTTTTGAGCCTGAAGGAACAGGTGTACCTTCAACCAATTCCTGCAGATAAAGGCAGCAAGATTGCCCACTGGGCTTCATGGAGCTACTTCCTCCAAAGGGACGTAGGGAATGTGGTCAAGCACTGTCCAGCCGTGACAGTCCCCAGCAGTGCAGACCTGGCAGGAGGTGGGGCAGCCCTTGGTGGGAGTGGGGAACAAAGGGTCAGCCCCACAGGGAGCTCTAACAGGTGGTCAGTTCTCCAATTGTGGGAGGCATCAGACGCACCTGGGGAGACTACGTTTGTGTTTCTGACAAACACGTGCAAATTCTGAAAATCCCTGGTGACCAGAAGAGTGTAGAGAGATGAGAGCAGGAGGGAACACTGTCAGCTTTATCAAGGTCAAGAGACCTGCCCTCCCCACCCCACCTGAAATGATTTTTATAATTAAAACATGGGCCCTTCGCAGATATCCAGACGCATGCTTCATTTTGTATTGGTGTGCCCTTTCTAGAACTACCGAAGGGTAGTTCTTCAGGAAAGGTCTGTGACTGCATGGCTATGCTCTAAGACTTGGCTGTTCAGACATTTCCTTTCTGCGTGATGGCCAGGCAGGCGTGTAGGAGTTGAACGTGCATTTGATGGAGTCTGTTAGGTCATTGACCCTTTTCCTGGTTTTGAAAGAACCATTTCTCTCTCTCACAGCTTCGGCATGGTCCATGATGGAGAAGGGAACGTGTGCAAAAAGTCTGAGGGCAACATCATGTCCCCCACATTGGCAGGACGCAATGGGGTCTTCTCCTGGTCACCCTGCAGCCGCCAGTACCTGCACAAATTTTTAAGGTATGAACTCCCGGAGCTGGGTGTGTGTCTCTTAGTGCCTTTGGTGCCCCCTGTCTGGGCAGCCTGATTCTGTCCAAGCAGCCCCAGCTTGGCTGTGACTTCCCAAGATGGTTCACCTTCGAAGGTGTCTTGAGATGCTCCCTCAGCCAAGAAATTTGTCAGACACTTCCTTAGAGCTCCAAGTCCTGCAGGCTGAATCCAACATCATTTGACCTTTAGACTCAAATGAAACCCAAGATACTTAGCAAATCAAAGTATTTGTCACTAACATTTAGTTGTTTTAAATTCTCACTTCTGTGACTAAACGTTTTTTATTCATGAGTAGGAAGACCTACCGTGCACACAGTGGGGAAGCAATGTAACTTTTGGGGGTCTCTTCTCTTCTCTTCTCTTTTTTCTCTTTTCTTTTCTTTTCCACAAAGTACATTTCTTATTAGAAGGGGAAACCTTAGCCTGGCTCTAAAATCGTGCAATTTTAAATAATTATTTTTGTAACTGTTTATTAAAGCACTAATTCATTTAGGATATAGGACATTGGAGAGATAGGGTTTGACCTGCTGAGAAAGACAGTCAGTAGATTTTCAACTCTTTAGAGAAAGGAGGGACTTTAGGAAGTGGCCTTAGATCTGCTAGTAAGGCAGACTGTCCCCCAAGTCTCAAGGACGTTGAGTTTGGAGTTTAGTTTCAGCTGCAGACCCTAACCTTATTTCTGACGTGTGTCAACGCTGTTGCGCGGGTCAGCGAACCTGCTGCGTGTGGTCACACAGAACCCGGGGCCTTCCATCCTGTGGTCACTTCCTCTTGTAGGAGCTGGTTGTGCACCACAGCCCATGGTTCCCAGCGGAGGAGAGGGCTATGGAGGGTGTGCAGGACAGGGCTGTGTTCCTGGCAGCGAGCATGCAGCTGAGGGCCCACCCTTTAAGGGCTGGGTCATGAATGTGGGGGCTGGGACTGCAGGTGTGTGCCCACCTGAGCTCCCTGCATTCCTTCTCTTCCCTTCTGAGCGGGCTCTCCTGGGCCCCAGGGGTGGTACCTGCAGCACACCGTGCTCTGAGGTTCTTGTGCCTCCTGGAGGACACACCCCTCTCTACCCTTGTTCTTTCGGGAACATTCTTGTTTCCCTGGCCCTGGGAAGGAGAACTGCTTTCGCTCAGGAGGGGGGACATGCGTATCCGTGACACAGAAACGTATCTTGCCAGACACCTAGAAGGCTTGTGCTCACTCTCTGACAAACACACCAACACTCAATAATCCACTGATTCTTGTCAAGGAGATACAAAGCATGTGCTTCCATCTTTCCAAAATGTGTCAGTGCTGGCGGCAAAGGACCTTCCTGGCGAGTTCTCCATTAAATGCGCTCACATTTCTGAGATTCGTCAAGGAAGGTATGAGAGTTAGTACTCTTATGTCAGTGATATATTCTTGGACAAAGCTAGCAAACCAAACCACCTTACTTCAAGAATTTGGAGCAGATTATGACAAGAAAACATACAAAAAAATAATTAGGGGCGCCTGGGTGGCTCATTTGGTGAAGCATGCGACTCTTGATTTCGGCTCAGCTCAGGAACTCAGGGTCCTGAGATTGAGCCCCACCCATCCCCCTGCCCCCGCTGGGCTCTGCGCTGGGCATGGAACCTGCTCGCCCTTCTCTCTCTCCCTCTGCCCTGCCCCCTGCAAAGGCGCACGCTCTCCCTCTCTAAAAACAAAACAAAACAAAACAAAAAAAAATTAGAATTGACAGATGAAGACGAAAAGCAAATGAAAATAAAAAATGGAGAACAAGGAATAAACACACAAATATATCAGTCTTAAAATAGAGGCTTTGGCTGTGATATTGGAGCTTGAAATTGGGCAAAGGTCTTTCTAGGAACCGAAGCAAGAAAGGAGATCAAATCCATTCATATGAACAGAAAATAGGGCAAATACCGATATTTCAAGGAAAGTGAGGCTTTTGCCAGCACAGAATTCTTGGAAACAAATGAAACTGTGTCTGTGTATATCTAAACTGAACTGTAGATACATCCAAGTGCATGCGTTGATAGATGTGTTTCTATATATTTTATTCATATCCTTTCTATTTACAGAATGCCTGCTGTACATCTGCTACATAAAATATATGTTCGTATCTGTAACAAGTTATGTCATACAGTGAGTGCTTATAAGTATGGGTAGACACACGAAGTGAAAACATTGGTAGGAAGTACCTCAGTGGCTATCTGTGTGTGCGCTAACCCATGGCACCTTGATGACTCCCCCCTTCTACCCTCCTCTGGACCCCATGCTGGAGTGAGTCCATCCCGGGCCAGTCTGAGACACCAGGAGCACATGCTTGTCCCTCTCCTGTTTCTGCCACACGATGCCAGCAACTGAACAGAGAATCTGGAGGGAGGTGTAGCGGCAGGGTGCGTGACCCATGCTGGCCCCACCAGACCTGGGGGAAGGAAAACAGATTGGCGGTATGCACGGACCACCAGCTTAGCAGCCAGATATCCGCCTTCCAAGTCTCCGCAACTGATGCACGTGCCTATAGTCAGAACCCAGAACTCGTTATTCGAAGCCAGGAGTCGAGTACAAGAGTCCCCAGCTCGTGTTGTACCCCGTAAGACACCTTTCAGGCTTCTGCTAGCCTCACTGGCTCGCCCCACGGAGCTGCTTATCTTGGGGTCTAGGCTTGCTTCATTTTTTTTCTCTCTTTCTCTCCTTTTCTCTTTCTTTCTTATTTTGTCAGTAAAGCCTTTTCCTCCCTTTTTTCTGTTGCACAAAATACAGAAGCTTCTCTCTAGCACACAACAGGGCGGGGTCACGTGCATGTTTCTGGTGGTTATGCTCCCAGTTTGCTCACTGTCTGAGGCTCCTCCCCGTGCCCTCGTGGAGCCTGTAGCAAGTCTTCTGAGCCACTCACCTTCAGCCTGGGTTCTTTCCTCATGTTCTTACCATAAGACTTCACATCAGTCAAGATATTTTACCGCCTAAAGGAATGATGGCTGCCTTCCATAGTTCATGCCAGCCAAGAAGAGTGAAAATTTCGTGGATAGTATCTGTCACCTGGCAATACAAATCTATATTCTAGTAACATACACTTGATCATTTTCCTTTTATTTCTAATACAAAAAAAGGCAGTGTTAACATTATTCTACTGGTGACATGACATATTGGGGTCCTTTCAATGTTTGCTCTTCCCTGTGCGGGCTCCTTGTGGAGTCAAGTTGGGGATTGTTAGCATTGTTTGTAGCTGTTTCTTGCAGCTGTTCAGTTTTGTTTGGGGTGTGTGTGTGTATGTTTGCGTGTGCACGTGCTTGAAGAATTCTGCTTTCTGTAATAAAAAAGAGCACAAACTGAAGTTTACATCGAAGTTTTCTATACCCTTTCTATAATTTTCTAGATTATTTTTCAAAAAAAAACTGTTTTAAAGATTTTATTTATTTATTTCATTGAGAGAGAGAATGCATGTGCGCGAGCGAGAGCACACAAGCAGGGGGAGCAGCAGAGGGAGGGGCAGAAGCAGACTCCCCGCTGAGCAGGGAGCCCAATGCGGAGCTCGATCCCAGGACCCTGAGATCATGACCTGAGCTGAAGGCAAGACGCTTAACCAGCTGAGCCATCCAGGTGCCCCTCAAAATTTTTATAGCTTTTTCATCTTCATGGTTTTGATGAAGATAAACATGTTTAATTTTTTTGAAATGTACCCAGACACCGTGGAGAGCAGGGGCTCAACGGGTGGGTGTACGGTGAGAATCAGCATCATGCAAGAGTCCAGATTGCTGCTCAGCTGCCAAGAACTGTAGGAGAACTCGTGGAAGGAAATAGTTATATGCTTAGAGAGCACTTGTTTTGATGACATTAGATATGGGCTGTGATCTTCGAATCAGACCGTGGCCCTAGGAGGGGTTGCCAAGAGTGTGGTTCAGAGACATGTTTGCTCTGGGATCCCGGGACGGTTCAATGTCTGCTCAAGTTCGCTCATTTGTTTTTGTGTCAGTCAGTAAAACCCTTGTGTGGCCATTCAGTCATAAACTTTTATTTTCAAGAACTTTGCTAGTTTTGCTGGGCCACATGGTTATGAACAGAAACACAAGATTATGCATGCTCACAAATTTGTTCTCTTGAAAGATTAAATTTTCCAAGAGAGCCTCCTGTTGTCAAAGTCACTCAAGCTTTTGTTCCCATGGGATGACCAGTGATGAATGGGCCATGTCTATACTGTGTTGGCAGAGAAGTCTCATCAGTTTAATCAATCGGAGACTTATCCTCTTTGACGTGTTTGCCGACTTCCTGATTTCCAAGTAATCACAATCCTGTTATGTTCTCCACCAATTAGGCGGCTATTTTGATACGATCCCAACAATGAGTGAGGATAAGTGGCTAACTTTTAAAGATGAAACCGCTTTCCTTTATTAGCAGTCTCGCATTTGGTACATGGAAAAAATATATTTAAAAAAAGGCACTCAGTCGGTCTGAAGTTGTCAGCACAATGTTTCCCTATAGTTCGTAGTCAAGAAGGACGGATACGTGTTTGGAGTAAATTCATCAGCCTACTCAGTGACGTCATGCATCATTTCTGAGGAACAGACACAGATCTCATCCCACTTACTCATGTCTGTCCGGGAGGCCTAGGACTAAGGAAATTTTAACTCATTATTTTAATTTAATGACAACAGGGACTCATCTTCAATTTACTTTTTAAAAATTTGAATCATGGTATTCACAGACCAGTGAATGTGCCTTCCCTCTGACCCCATGAATCTATGTCAGTCCATGGGAAAAGGGACCATCGCTGGGAGCCAGGAGCTTGAGGGGTGCGTGGGACCGCTGCCCCACACCATACCTCTTCTGTCAATGAGAAAATCTGATTTGACCTGAGAGCCCATTAAGAATATTTGGGGGTATAATGGAAAGAACAAATTTCAGTTCATTCATACACACATACACACAGTGAATATTATTCAGCCATGAGAAAGAAGGAAATCCTGCTATTTTTGGCGGTGTGGATGGACCTTGAGGGCATTATGCTATGTGGGATAAGTCAGAGAAAGACAAACTGTATGATCCCACTTACATGTGGAATCTAAAAATTCAAGCTCATGGCAACAAAGAGTTATACTGGGGTGGGAGTGCTGGTGAAGGTGGTCACACATACAAACTTGCAGTTCTAAGATGAGGAGGTTATGGGGGCTTCCATGTATAGCACGGTAACTATGAACAATCCTGTATTCTGTGCTTGATTATTGCTGAGAGTAGATCTTACAAGTTCTCTTGGAGTGCCTGGGAGCCTCAGTCAGTTAAGCGTCCGACTCTTGATCTCAGCTCAGGTCTTGATGTCAGGGCTGTGAGTTCGAGCCTCACGTTGGACTCCACACCCAGTGTGGAGCCTAAACTTAAAAAAAAAAAAAAAAAATTCTCACTACACAACATTCACAAATCTAAGGATGTGAGATAATGAATATGTTAACTAACCTTTATAAAAAGCTCCAGAGCACAGTGAACAGCCCAGAACCCCGCACTCACTCTCATCATCATCTCCTTCCTCCCCAGAGATGACCATGCTCCTGACACAGGCCACCATAGGCTAGTTTTGCCTGTTTCTGAACTTGCTATGAACAGAATCATGAGCGACATACTACTCTGTATCTGGGATCTTTAGCTAAATACCACGATTATGAGATTCAGCCTTGTTGCTGCATAAAAATATAGCATCATTTATTTATTTTTAATTGCATGAATATGCTACAACTTATGAATCCATTCTGTTGGTGACAGGCATTTGAGATTCCAATTTGGGGCTATTTAAGAAATGATACTCTGCATATTCTTTTGGTTTACGTATATGTTTCTGATTATTCGTAGGCCTGGAACTCTAGGGTCATGAATACGGAGTCTGCAGTGTCAGGAGACACCCCGGCAGCTTCCTGAGTGGTTATGCAAAGTCACATGCCCACAGTTATGAGCACTCACAAGGCGCTGAACCCTTGCCAACACTTGGTCTTGTCGGTCTTCTCCATTTTAGCCATTTCGCTGGGAGTCTAGTGACATACCAAAGTGGCCATTAAAGAGAACGAGTGTGTTTTTACATGTTTAATGGTCATTTGAATAATCTTGAGTGAAGTGCCTGTTCAGATCTCTCATGAATTTTTAAAAATTAGGCTTTTTTATTTTTTCTTGTCTCTTGATGGGAGTACCTTATATATTCTGAATACTTTGTTCATTATGTAAAATACATATTATGTGAGTATCTTCTGTCACTCTATGACTTGGTAGGTATCTCCACCGTTAATGGTGTCTTTTGGTTAACAGAGTTTTCCTTTTTGTAACAGAGTCTCAATTAATCCATATTTTTCCTTTGGGGTTAGTACTTTTTGTGGGCTGCTAGAATAAAAAAATTTCTACTTACCCCAGAGTCACAAATATATTCTTCCACACGATCTCCTACAAGCTTTATTGTTTTGCTTATCACATGTAGGGCACCTGACTTTCATCTGGGGCATGCCACAGGGTCAAGACACGATTTGTCCACGTGGATACTATGGTGGATTGTTTGTGCAGTGGCTTTTCCTTTCAACATCCATGCCATGGGGTTTTCTCACACCTGCCCCATTGGCTTTGTGCTTGGCCATGACACCTGCTGTGGCCAAGGGGGAAAGAGCAGATGTGCTCCAGCCGGAGCCTAACCGGGAGCACAAGGGTGAGATCCACATGGGGAGTTGCTTCCCTTCAAAGGTGAAGCTAATTGGAGCCGACCTGCACATCCCAACAGTGATAGGTGTGTTCCTACACCTCCTTGCAGGCTCCCAGCTTCTTCCAGGCTCCCAGTCTGTGCACTGCATTTCTCATGGCCAGGTGGGAACCTTGTCCTCACGCCCTGTGCTTATACATTTACACAAACTATAAAAATTCCTGAACCTGTGAAACTGTTTTAATTGTCAGTCTCTTGCTGGGGCCAGTCAGTTTGGCTGAGTTTTCCTGGTTTCCTGTCCAGAGGATGGGGATCATATTGCCACCCTGACGTAGCCTCAGGGACCTAATGGGGAACACCAAACTCGTATGTATAAATCACTTGAGATCCATCAGAGAAAGGTTCTATGGAATTCCAAAATTGCCAAGTCACTCCTGTCTTTAACTACTAATTATGCTTTTAATCGTTTTTCTTTACCTAAAAATATCCCTTTGTGGTATGATCCTAGTGACCGTGATAGACAGACAGGTCATTTGTTGAATGCTCACAGTGAGCCGGCCACTGCTCTTAACACTGTCCTATCATTTGGTTTAGTCTGTACTTCTCAGTGTGCTCCAAAAGGGCTTCTGATCTCCTCTTACGTAGGACTGACGTCTCCTCCACGGTAGCTGGGACCACCCTCGTGTTTCATGGGTCAGTGTGAATCGAAGGCATGCAGGAGTGGACTCGAAGGCAGTGGAATTTGAGACTGGGGTGGAGACTGAGGCCAGAAAGGTCCCAGTCGAGGTGGGCAGCCACACAAAGAAAAAGTAGGGATCCATGGGCAGGTCTGCCATTGTTCAATATATTGCTAACATAGAAGGGATTTTTTTTTTGGCTTATTGAAATTTGCAAGCAAGATTTAGTTGCTACATGCAAACACTCTTTGCCCTCCCTCCGAATGTGAAAATTATAACTATGCCTGTCCCTGCTAGGGAAGGGAATACCGTGTTTGTGGAGGAAGGAATCATTAGTTGGTCTTTAGCCATCTGCTAGTGAACTTAAGCAGAGTTAATTTCCTTCTTGACTTTGGGATCTAGTCAGAAATTAGCCTGAGCATGGAGCATAGCTGGTAGAAATTGTTGCTGTGTTCCACGGGGAACCTCTGGAGGCTGTGAGCTTGTGTGTAGGTGGCCCCTGGCCCGGGGAAGGGAAGGAGGGAGGGGGAAAGAGGAGAGTGGAAGGGGGGAGGAAGGGAGGTAAGGATGGAGTGGGGGGAAAGAAAGAAAGAAAATTCTCGTCTTTGAGATAAGTGGATTGTGCTAGCCTTCCACAATGCCCATTTCCATCTTTTGATCACTCATGGCCAGAAGTGTACGTAAAAGTGTCTGCAGTTGGCACTTCTCACACTGAACATCTGCTTGTGCTCTTCCATCTCACCTTTTCCCCGTGATAAGCTTGAGGAATCTAATGAAGAACAAATTGTCTTCCTGGAAAAGCTGAAATGCAGTAGGAGCAGTTTCAGGATATGTGGCCCCTGTATTTAAATAGGATGGAGATAAATGTCATATGGGCCCGCAAGAGAAGAATGCCCAACCCCCCACCCCCACCCTCCACCCCCACCCCCCACCGCCACCCCCGCCTCGCTGCACAGGGAATGTTGTCAGATTGCAGGAGAAGAGCCCGGCCTCAGGAAGGTGCATCTCCGGTAAGTGTTGCGGAATCACCAGCAGCCCCATGTCCTGTGCATTTCAGCACCGCCCAAGCGCTGTGCCTTGTGGATCAGCCGAAGCCTGTGAAGGAGTACAAGTACCCTGAGAAGTTGCCGGGAGAGTTATATGATGCCAACACTCAGTGCAAGTGGCAGTTTGGAGAGAAAGCCAAGCTCTGCATGCTGGATTTTAAAAAGGCAAGTGATTATTGGCAAATGCTCAGTGCAATATGATTCATAAAACCGTTTTATTCAGTGTAACGGACATTGATGTATTCTGCATTTATTGGGTACCTACCAAATGTCAGATCCTGTGAGTTAGAGCTGGTCTTAGATAACAGGAAACATATGTTCTCCTGGCAAAGAAGAAGCTGGTCGATCCTGGTGTGGGTATCGCTTTTCATTGGAGAACCGACTTGGCCTGTTAGGTCAGCTCTTGTTTCTGATTTATCACGTGGGAACTCAGCAATAACCTCTGGTTGGTGTGAGTTGGCAAATTAATGCTCTGCATTTTTTTCCAATGCTGTTAAGAAAATAGTACCTCCCTGCTTTACCTTCCTCAGCTATAAGCAGAATTTACCATGGAGCAACAACCTGTCTAGAGCTTCTGATTATTAAATTTCCCAAGGACAGCCTTTCTAGAGAAGTTTCTTGTAGAAGGTGTGATGTGCGCCGCTGAGCTCAGGGACATGACTGGCGTGGCTTCCTGACATAAATTCTGCGTGTGACACAGAGACATGCGCCCGTGTTGGACGGGCAGGTCGGGATCTAGGAACTTGCTGTACTGAACCCCAAGGAAAGCTACCCATAAATTAAATGAAAGTACCTATTCCTGAGATTTCCTTTATTCTAGTTTATAATGAAATCAAGAGGAAAATAGACAAAAATATGATCCTCTAGAAACCCCCAACATTTCATAATGTACTGGGAATATTCCCAATTTAAACCTAACGTGATAATCTCTTTTCTTCTAAACTCGAGGAGATTTCCCCCTAAGGTCAGTTACAACCGTGTTCCAGGAAGGGATCCTTATCTCCTGAGCTGGGTAATGTCAACTTGGGACAAGAGCAATAAATCAGTTACCATCAGCTTGTATCCCTAATGTTGCCTTTTCCATGTGAAATCCCTAGGAAGTTTTTGAGCGTTACTCTTATGTCTGTTAAGGACAGGGAGCATAAGACTCATTTTTTTTTTTTCAAAGATGGGATTTTCTACAGCATACCTCTGGTTTACACACTATTTTGCTCTGTGACCATGGACTGTATCATCCATGGTACTCTGGCGCCATTTGGAAAATGCAGGAAGTAAGAAGCTAAATCTTTTCTTACTATCATCTTTTATTACTGAGGGAATATTTATATGCAGTGAAATGGATTCGTTTTAGGTGTACAGTTGGAATTTTAACAACTGTGTTTACCCGCGTTACCAGCATGCTGATCAAAACATGGCTTACTTCCATAAAGCCAAAAAGTTCCTTTATGCCCTCTTCCATTCAGCCCCTTCCCCACCCAGATAAGCAAACTTTGTTCTGATTTCTATCACCATAGATACAGTTTGCTTATTCTGGAACTTTGTAAATGCCAAGTAAAGTATTTGCAACAACAGGGATGGAACTAGAGAGGATAATGCTAAGTGAGGTGAGTCAGTCAGAGAAAGACAAATACCGTCTGATTTCACTCGTAGGTCGAATTTAAGAAACAAAACAAATAAAGGAAAAGAGAGACAAAGCAAGAAACAGACTCTTAACTATAGAGAACAAACAGGGTTACCACAGGGGACGTGGGTGGGGGACCAGGGAAACGGGATGGGGACTAAGAGCACACTTACCGTGAGGAGCACTGAGTCACATGTAGACTCGTTGAGCGCTATGTTGTACGTCTGAAACCAACAGAGCACTGTATGTTAAGTATACTGCAATTAAAACTTAATAAAAAGCAAATATGATGTTAGTTGATGGTTTTACATAGTCACCCTTTATCAAACTGGTAAGTTCCATTCTGGTCCTAGGTTGTTGAGAGATTTTATCACAAAAGTGTGTTGACTTTTGTGAAATGCTTTTTCTGCTTCTGGGGATGCAGTTATATTGTTTTTCTTCTCTATGATGTGAATGTGGAGAATTGTGTTGATAGGTTTTAAATTTAGTTTCCCATTCGTCACACTTCTTTTTTATTTCTCTACTTCCTTTTGCTTTAAGCTTCTTTCTAACAATCCTGTTTTTTTGCCTCAATTTACATTTTAACTATCCTTCCTTATGCTGATTTTTAGTGGTTGTTCTGGAGATTATAGCTACATCTCTAATTTACAGTCGATTTATTTTTTTTTAAAGATTTTATTTATTTATTTGACAGAGAGAGATAGCCAGAGAGGGAACACAAGCAGGGGGCGTGGGAGAGGGAGAAGCAGGCTTCCCGCGGAGCAGGGAGCCCGATGCGGGGCTCGATCCCAGGAGCCCGGGATCATGACCTGAGCCGAAGGGAGTCGCCCAACCACCTGAGCCACCCGGGCGCCCCAATCGATTTAGAGTTAACCTTGTACCACTCTATGCAAAATGCAAGATCCTTACAACAAGTAAGCCCACGTGACTCCCACGCTGCACTGTCCTCATCATGTATTTTACCTCTGTGTATGTTATAAGCAACATGACACAATGTTAAAATGTTTGTTTTAGCACAGGGAGTTGCTTTTAAATAAAATGTCACCTTTTATATTCACCCACAAATGCACCATGTAGTACTTATACTTTCTCATGGATCAACTCCAAATTGTATCATTTGCTCTGGTCTGAAGATCTTTCTTTAACATTCTCTATAGCCTGCATCTGCTGGGCATAAGGTAGGTCAGGTTTTCCTTATCTGAAAATGTCATTAAATTCACCCTCTGTTTTGAAGAGTCATTTTTCTGAATATAAAGCTCTAAACAGTTTTTTCTTTATTTTTTTTTCCTATACACATTTTAAAGTTATAATTCCATTTTCCCCTGGACCCGGTTGTTTCTGATAAAAAGCCGATCATCATCTTTATCCCCTGGCATACCTAATCATATATTTAGACAATTCGGCAAACTCTACATTTAGGTTATTTTAAGTTTTGTTTCCAGAAATACGATCTGATTCTTTATACTTTCTATTCTCTACTGAAATTTCCCATCTTTTTTCACTCATTCTGTCCACTTTTCCCTTTATAGCCTTGAGTGTATTTGTAACATATTATAATAGAGTATCACTTTATGTTATATACATTTGTACTGTATTATTATAATAGGGGGATCCCTTCATCCTTTGAGGCTTTGTTTGGTTCTTCCTTAGGGCTCCTCTCTTTCAGTTTTTCCTTAGCCAGAGGCACAGCCTGGGCTCTGGGCTGGGGGCGTGGACTTTGGGCTCTCCCCTGAGGTCTCTCCCTCACGTGCGGGCCCAAACTCCCGTGTCTCCCAGCATGGTGTGGCCTCTGTCGTCCAGCTGGTGAGTGTGCAGCCCAGAGCTGCTGCCCTGATCTAGGCCACATGAGGTGTCATCTAGTGCATCACCATTCACCCCACAGATAAGGAAGGGCCCGCAGGAAATCCTCAGGCAGGCATCTGGGGCCCCTTACTTAACGTGACTACTTTTTACTTTCTGGTCCCACAGAGTCCCACAGGTTCTAGCTACTTCTGCAGGCCCCAGCTCTGATCTCTGCATTCCCCATGCAGGGAGACTGTCGTTGTCTGCCTGGGACTCACCTGGCTGCACCATGTCAGGCAGATTGATAGAGCAAAGGTGACACTCACCTTACGAATTCCCTTCTCTCCAGGGACACATACTGTGCTGCCAGTTGCAAAGCCTAAAACAAGTGGCCCATATATTTTGTCCAGTTTCATATAGTTTTTGTATGCAGAAAAGTAAGCCTGGTACCAGTTACTTCATCATGGACAGTAGAGGAAATACCTTTTCAGTTAAAAAAAAAGAAATTACATCCTTTACAATCAGTCATGTCAGCTCATTCCCTATGATGTGAAATTGTTCTTCGACATAAATAAACTTGATGGATTTTCTAAGTTAAATATCATTTGTGTGGCCAGAATCTTTAGGGTCTTGAATTTCAAATTTAGATACAGTGGGCAGTTAGGTTATTTTCCATGTGAATTAGAGCATCTCAGAACATTTTCAGTTATAAAATTTAATTTTTTCAATGAACTCCTTCTGAAGTTTATGAAAATGGGTCTGTTTTTTTAGATTGAAGTATAAAGATCCAAAAGTTTACTGATGAGAGAATTTAAATTAATAACAAGTAGGGCACCCTGTGATTCAGTCAGTTAAGCATCTGCCTTCGGCTCAGGTCACGATCTCAAGGTCCTGGGATCGAGTCCCGCATCAGGCTCCCTGCTCAACGGGGAGTCTGCTTCTCCCTCTGTCCCTCCGCACAGCTCATGCTCTCTATCTCTCTCTCTCTCCCAAATAAATAAAATCTTTGAAAAACAAATAAATAAATAACAAGTAAATTACCTGATGCCTAAACCAGCAACTAGCACCTAAGGATTCCTCAGTGAACATTTGCTGAGCAGGTGATAGATGGGTGAATGCTATTTTAGAAAGGGACTCTTGGTTTGAAAAGTTAATAGATAATGCAAATTCGTATGCATCTGTCTCTTGGACAAATAGATGTGTATTTGGTGTATGTGTGTTTACATACTTGTGGTTAAATTCACACAGCCATATGGCCACAGCTTCATCTGTCCTCTGATGCCTTGTAGAGTGATCATTGGAACTAGTGATAAAGTATCCCATACTTGAAAGACAAATAATTGCAATAAATTAGAGATCCCATTATAACATCTTTTGTGATGGCATTTTCAGTTGGTATTTTTGGTGAGTCTAATACCGACAGTTTGAGAAAATGGATCCGGGGACAGTGCACTCACAGTTGGGAAATCCCCCAATAAATTCCCAACACAGTCATTAGAAAATGTTGGTTTTATTTGGGGTGTTAGGTTGTGATGCTTAACTCAACCAAGTCAGCATGGCTGAAATTGGTCTTTGTGAGCATAGCTCTTAAATTATAAGATAGACTCACAAGTGAGCACCTTCATTAAAGATTGGATTCCTTCGCTGCAAAGATGAAAAAAAGCACGGGCTGTCCATGTGGACTTAGCTTTTTTCTCCAAAGTATTAGTTTTTACAAACATTGCGTCTTCATCTAGTGCCTGTTCTGCTTCGTCAGCATCATGCGGGGCTTGGCAGCCTGACCCTGCAGTCTGAGATGCGGGGCTGCCAGAATTACTTTGAAATTTGATCACCTTAGTGTCCTGGGCACTGTTGTGAAATTGGGAGCTTCCCCCCCACACCCAGCATGTCTTACATTCCAGCTCCTTGGCCCTAGACGTATGATTTAATAGGGTCTTTGTTCCAAGAGGACCCTGAAATTTAATTAAGAATGTAATGACATACAACAATAATGCTTAATTTAATACAATCATTGCACATTATTGTCTAGAATTCGTAGTTCAAAGTATGATAAGAAAGGATAAAACTGGTTTTTGGTTGTTTGGTCATTTCATGGTCATTTTATTATCCAATTCTTTGAGAAACTAGATTTTTTATTTGTTTTCCAGGGTAGAGAGAGTGTCATGTTTTTGTGAAATGTCAGTTATATCTGTAGGGTACCAAGGTCTCAAGTACTTTTCGATATGTTGAATAACAGTAGCATGGATTATATGATATTTCCAGGCTCTTCTAACTCCTGTCATTTGTTTCTGTCTGGAGAACTGCACTGAGGATTGAGCAGATTCCAGGATGGGCCGAAATACACGGGGGGCATAGGGAAAACACAGACTGGGTGCGTGGGTCACGTGCTTTTGGGGCAAGCTATCACCTGCCCCTTGTACTTGAGAGCTTTGTCCTTAGTAAAGTTAAAAAAAAATCACCTTTAATAGTATCTTCCATTCATATTTCTTTATTCTGCAAAATGTTCCAGAAAACGACAATGTAAGAATATTATGAAAATACTTTAGGGGCACCCGGGCTCAGAGCTCAGTGGGGAGTCTGCTTGGGATTCTTTCTCCCTCTCCCTCTTCCCCTCCTGCTCATGCTCTCTCTCTCTCTCTCTCTCTCTCTCTCTCTCTGAAATAAAGAAATAAATCTTTAAAAAAGAAAAAAAAGAAAAAACTTTAAATATTAGGGTCTAGATCTATATTTTCATACATATAGTGGCCTATGTCATCTTAGATGTTCTTATGATAACATTTCACTTACCATTATGAGTTTCCTTTTACACAAAAAATGTTCCCACTCATTCTGTTCAAGGTTTTCATGAGAACAAACTAATAGGTGTTCAGCTCACTCAGAAAACATGTATTGAAAGCCAGCTAGGTACCGAGCACTGTGCCAGAGATCTATGACAAACACAAAAAAATAATTTCGCATTTTAAAACACCATTTATTTTGTATCGTCTTGGATACTCTTTGAAACTGCCCCATGAATTGGTACCACTGACTCCCTGAGGCCATAGCCATGAAGCCCGGTGGAGAGGTGCCTTTGGGCTGGAATCACCTCCATGCCCTTGGAGTGGGGAAGGAAGTGCGTGCTGGCCCCATGCCTCTCCGGTACCAGGCCTGAGTTGGGCACGTTACTTACAACCACTTCATTTAGCTCCCAGGACAAGTCAAATAAGCAGGTGTTGCTATCCTCATGCATACAAGGAGGACACCGGGCTCTGCCCCCAGATCTGCCCTTCCAGTCCACACCAGATAGGACTGCCTCCTCGGAAGCCCAGTCCCTCTGCTGGACCACTGTGTCTGTCTCCCGGCTGGCCTGACCACAGGGCGGCCACCTCTTTCACACCCACCCATTCACCCATTCATCCCTCATGCCTTCATTTGTTGATGTGTGCACACACAGCCTCCTGAATTAGTAGGTCTCCGTAGGCCAGCCAGGCAGCTGCTCTCTGTGGGCCACCACCCAAAAGCAGGTAGGCCTACCCTGCACTGCTGTACAGATGCTGGTTCTGATCCGCCATAGTTCCACCCAGACATTGAGCCTGGGTCCAAGAGCTCCGATTTCAAGGAAGCTTTATTTATATCCTGGTATTCGATCAAGTTGTCACCCTGCAAACAAACGGAGCTTTCCAGTTGTCTCTTTGGAGAGTTACAGACACTCAGGCCCCTGCTTTTATGGATTCCTTGAGGTCTTCTTATGGCTCTGATCCCTACACGCTGTTCTGGCTGAGAACAGAGGCCCCAACTCAGCATGCCAATTAATGTCATGAGAGGCCAGGAGAGCATTAACCACCAGCGTGACACATTGCCCCAGTAACGCTTAGTGAACTTGGCGGACTCACAGGGAAATAAATTTAACATTACAGTGATTGTAACCATAGGAGGTTATTTTGATACTTGAAAATAAATGCAATTGATACCCAAATTAAAACATTGAAAGTTTACTTCTTACCATTCCAAGTTCCCAAAAGCTGATTTATTAGTGAGGGAGATACAGGCAGAAAATACGTGTATGCCCTCAGTTTCTAAATATGTAACAATTAAGCTGAGGGAGGAGATTTGAGAACGGTTTGATGAAAGTAAAATTAATATTGATTATTAGCAATAAAACCCTTCAAAAGACCACTCACACAATGCAGAACAGCTCTGTGTGAGCTCATCTTTCAACACCATGAAATAGCGGGGAGAAGCATAAAGGGAGTGAAATGCCATCTTTGAAGCAAAACTATGTCGACTTTTGGCCATGTTGCATTTTCTTTATGATACAGATCACCCAGAAGATACAGCCAGTAAATATCTTTGGGAAATAATGCAGCGCCTGTTCAAATATTCAGAACACTTGTGCAGATAATTTAAGAAATGTTTTCCTCCTGTGCAGTCAAAGCTACCACAAGCATTCCTGAAGTTTCCATCATGTTCTGAGTCCTTCTACTTGCCCTTCCCTAAGACATTCCTTTGGGCTCGTAAGGTTATGGAAGGAAAACTCATTCCTTGCACTTGGAGAGAATTTCATGGTGTGTAACTCTCAAGATCTTGTTCCCTTTTACTGCCCTGTCAGCTGTGTGGGTCTTCCTTGCTCTGCACACACCCTTTTTCCTTCACATCTTCCTTCCTTTGCACAAACGCTTTGTTCTTTGTCGCTTGAATGCCATGCGCTCTCCCCCAGTAAACCCCTCAAGCTCAGGAGTTGGCTCAGATATCTCATGTTCCCATGAGTCCTTCTCTAAGTGCCCCTGCCTTGCCCTTCTGACCAACTCACCCTGCACTGTGCTCTTCCCCCTGGGAGCATCTCTTCCCACATGCACCATGTGGCAACTTATAGCAAATTTACCCCCCCTCCCACCTTAGATGATGCTCCAGAGGGTAGGTCTGGGTTGTATTCCTCATGGAACCTCCCTCCTAGCAAGGCAACTGGCATATTCTAGGTCTTCATCAAAGGTTGGGGATGGTGGGTGAGTGGGTGGTTGGATAGACAGACGGACAGATGGATGGATGGATGAAAGGATGGATGGACAAGCCAGAAAGTCTCATAATCAACTTTAATCTGGAAATGACCATTCACACTTGGAGAGCTTAGTGAATGGTTGGGACAAGAATGAATTATAAAATGTTAGGTTTTATCAGGGTTTTTTCATTTTAATTTCTGCAGTTTTCTGCGACCTCTGAATTAAGCATATTTTACTTTTCAATTTAGAAAATATAATTTTGTCAAATTTATGATAAATACATATGAATAAATAAAGTTTCAGGGATGGAATTAAGTTGGGCCAAGTCTAGAACATGAGTCTCTGGGTCTTCTGTCTATCTACTGCTAAGGAGTTATCAGTTTTTAGTTTATATCATTTCTTTTCCCTAAATTTTTCAGTAATATTTTATTATAGATTTGTGGATCATCTGCAATACTAATGACCTTTTCTCCCTGGTAGGATATCTGTAAAGCCCTGTGGTGCCACCGGATTGGAAGGAAATGTGAGACTAAGTTTATGCCTGCAGCAGAAGGCACTATTTGTGGGCATGACATGGTAAGGAGCTAATCTTAGGTCATGAGTCATGTTCAGATGTCAGAGCCTTTCTACCCATGCATCTCCCCTCCTCCTGTGTCGGTATTTTGTCAGCCGTGTTCCTCATTTCTATGTGCAAATTTACCCCCAGGTCAGAAGATGGTGTTTAATTTATATCAATACTGTGAATGGGGCTCCTTCCTCCTTTTGCCCCTTTCCCGATGATGTAATCGTTGGGCTATCTGCAATTAGTAGATGCAGATGCCAGGCGACAGGTGGTGACTACATCCATTTAATAAGGGGAAACATTAAACTCTTGGCCGTATTTCAACCAGGTATAGAACCCGAGTTAGGTAGTATTGTTAATGCGACAGAGCATCAATTTAAAGACCCTGGGGCAGACCATTCTGACTTATCGTGTCTCCTGGGACAAAGGAGAGGAGCTTTGGTAGGGAAAAGAAATACATTAAGAAAGAAAGAAACAGCACATTTACTACTCACTGGGAGAGAATAATTTTGTTGTTGAAATTCAAAAATAAATTACCTTAAAGACCAACAGTACTATTTTGATTCCTTTGACTCAACCTGTGATTGCATTATTCTTTTTAAAATACAAGACTATTGAAAAAACTAGAGATAATATTGGACCCAAATGACCCCTGTACCCATTTCAGTGCCACTAGGTGTGTGACCTTTTTAGTGACAATAACGCACATGAAAGAGATACATGTCTAAAGAGCACTGATCTGTTATGTGTAGATTCCAAAACAAATATATCACAGCCTGAGTCTATTTAAACGTGAGCACAGACAGCGAGGGTTAAACACGTTAACAAACAGCGCTAACTCGTGCGTCCAGGTGAAATTATTGCAACACTGACTGGAGACGTGAAGAGAGTTGTGTGCACCTACCTGGGAAGGGCGCCCAGCGTCTACTCGTCCTCCACACGCCTCTGTACTTTATTCTCAGTCCCCCAGAAGGCAGGGTAGATTCTGAAATCCTTCCAGAGACATAAGAAACAGTAGTTACATAACTTATAACCCCCCAAAAACTGAATAAAAATGCTTTTAGATTCTCAGAAGAGGAAAGGGACATGTGGATGCACCGCAGTGCGGAAATGCCTGTTGTCACAGGAAGCCGGGGAAGCTGCCTGAGTACTAAGCCGCCACTGGTCATCACTTTCTCCACATAACTGGCTAAATTTACTCTTCAGGTGATGGTTTGCAAAACAGTCTCCATTTCCTGAAAGATTGGCCGCCCTCCCGCTGTTGCCCCTGAGTTTCAAGTCACACGGGCACGGGGTGCTTCTCCGTCGCCTACTTCCTGTAGGACTGATCAGAGCAGTGACCTTCCTCAGAATAACCTGTATATTCTTACATTTTATTTACCTTGAAAGCACAGTTAAATCGATGGTCATTGGTATTTTTAAATTATTTGTGGTGTGTTTCCAAATATGGGTTTTTCCTTCGTATAAAAAAGAATTAGTGCATGCTAAGCCAGAACGCATGCCTAAAATTACCCAGGAAAGATGTGCTCTGCCCAGGGGCTGCACGGTGGCCACAGTGGGGCAGCATTGGAGGCTCCTGTGAAAGCTCCCTTTGCTGTTAGTTGTGTGTCTTCCTGTGTTATGTGTTCTTGTGTGTCCCTAAGGTTTATTGATTTAGACATGTGCATTACCAGAAGTTAGTTATCTCAGTACTTACGGGATATTCCAGAGCAGTTGGTGTGTTCTGGATGACTGGAAATAACCATACTGCTACTGTGCACTTTTCTCCTGGGTGGGGGCCTATTTCCCTCCACTCTGTGCTGCCTCTGAGGCTTGTGCATGCTGGTAAATGGAACTGAATTGCATTTTGTAGTGTCAGACTCCATCCTTAGTACATCACATACTTTCAGTCCTCACAGCCACCCTGTGAGGGTGAGCCCATTGCAGCCCCCCTGGTGTACTCAGGAACCTTCCAGGGAAAGGACACTAGGGCCCTTTGTGCTCACACCATGGGAAATCCAGGACGAGGGTTTCATACTATAGCCTAATGCATATGATAGCAGATTCTAGCTCTCTAACAATCACGGGTCCCTAATGTAGTATATTAAACCACTGCCACATTATATTTACACTTGGTGCTAGGTACTTGGTCTGTGTCATTGCATTGCATTTTGGGAACAATTCATTCTGGTAGTTTGTACCATCCCTAAGGTTCTCAGGAGGACATGCAGGCTCAGAGCACTTGAGTAACTTGTCCCAGGCCACACAGCAGCAGAACTAATACAGAGGCTCCTTTCGTCCCCTCTCCCTAAGTCCGCTGTTGTACTTTATCAGGGTGCTTCCCGTGTGTGCTGGGTTTAGGTGTGACATGCAGACTCTGGGGACAGTATCACAGCAGAAACAAGCACACACCATGTCATCTTGCTTGCTAAGGTAAAGCCTTCTCTCAAAAGCCACAGTGTCCATCAATAAAATATAAATTGTGAGAAACATGGGACAGTCCTCAGAAACTTAACTGGTGTTTTGATGGAAATATTGTTTGTCTGTTTAACATAGGCTCCTTCCCTGACCTGCTCACGGTGGGCTCCACAGGTCTATGACCTGCGTGGACTTATACTCCAGGTCATGTGTGTGTGTGTGTGTGTGTGTGTGTGTGTGTGTGTGTGTGCGCGCGCGCGCGCGTGCGTGTGGGGTGTGTGTGTGTGTGTGAGTGCGTGTGTTTGTGCTTCTGTCTGCCTGCACCCATGCATCCCCCCAATCTCCATGGCAGAAGGTACAGTACTTTCTCCTCAGATTTTCAGAAAGGTTTTTTATTTCAAAAGGATAGTCATTTAAGGATACTCTAGTGCAAATAGCAGAAGTTGCACTGGCAAGGCTGCTCATGGCAGCAAACAATTGTGACAGCTGCAGACTGGGAATCATGCAGGGGTCCAGGAAGATTGCAAAACCCCAAATGCCGAATGAGAGACCTGTCTACACACTTCTAAGCGATGATCTCCAGACACACTGTTAGGTGGAGAAGCACATGGAAGAACATGTGTTGTGTGTGATCACTTACCAAAGACAAGGGAATAGTAATCTATATAAATACTTCCTTTCATTAAAAAATAAAGGCAATAAACCATATTTTTTAAAAAAAAGTATTTTGTGTAATTGTAAAACAAAATTAAACCAGCTTTTCCAGGGATGGCGTCCATAGGCATTCAGAATGGTCCAGCGTTTGACCTACCATTGTAGGCTGTCCTGCAGTACAGCCTCTATAACAAAACTAGTCTGTCCCGAACCCCTGGTAATAGATTCGTTTACCTTGATACCAAGAAGGTTGGGAAAGCACCAAAATCTGCATGTGGCGTGTGCCCAGGCCGACTTCGAGGAGATCGTGCTGTGAGACCTAAAGTCCTTATGGGGTTGTCCAAAACAGAAAATACGTCAGCAGGGCCCCTGGTGGTTCCATGTGTGCTAAGTGTGTTCGTGACAGGATCAAGTGTGCTTTCCTTATCAAGGAGCAGAAAAGCGCTGTGAAAGTGTTGAAGGCCCAAGCACTGAGTCAGAAAGCTAAATTAAAAAATGAAGCATTTTTGAGTAATAAAAAAAATCAAAAGCCCTGAAAAAAAATTAAACCGAATTTTCTTAAAGTAATCCTTAAATACCAAAAGCAAAATCAATTTAACCAACTTGTTGGCTTAATCATAACCTTCGAGGAAGAATTATTTCCAGTGACTTTAAAACATTTTCTGAGTTTTCAACTTGTGGGTTCCTGCGTTCCCATTTTCTGTCTTTGTATCGGAAAGCTCTGACCAGATGTTTCTTTTAAAATGGGACAAAATCACAACAGACACCATCCTTGTCCCTCTGTGTCCCTCCTTGCCCCAGGGCCCTGCCCAAAGTCCCCAGGAGGTGGCCCCTGCTCTCCCCGGATCCCGTTCTCTCCTTGGACTCACGAGGCCATCAGGGAGCAGACGCCTTGCTGGCAACTGCACACCCCTCATTGAGCTGAGGGTGTCAGGGGGATTCTAGGACTTCGTTCTATCACCTGGGATGTGGCCAGGAGGTAACAAAAGAGAGACCTATTTATTTATTTACTTACTTAATTACTTACTTCTCAGAAAGAAAGAATTGAATGGATGAGGTTTTAGTCCTCAGAATTACTTATGTTCCATTTTTATTCCCTAAATGATGTTAAACCATTTGTAACTGCCATTTTTGTGTGACAACAATGGCCAGATATCAGCAACTTGATATGTTTTCACCGAACACAACAGTTAATAATGGAAGTATTATTATTTTCCCCTTGGAAAGCCCCATTTTTTTTGCCCAGAGCAAATCTGTTGGCCCTCATCTGGGAGACAGACACACAGGAGACCTCAGCCCATCCCCACCCCGAGCGCTCAGGCCAGGTTCTGCTGCTCCATGCAGGCCAGCAGCGAGGGACAAGCCAGTTCCTTTTCTCCTCTCAACTGATGGCCTGAAGATCCTTGAAGTCTACACCAAACCATGGGTAGAAAACCAGCACCGCTGAACACGACCTTAGATGTTGTGTGGCCTTTACGTGTGATGGCAGCGAAGTAAACATGTGAACTAACGTTGATGAGCGCTCCTCTTGAGAAAGAACTGATAGCATCTCCAGCCTCGTGGGGACGGATGGAGCTCCTGTGTGGGTTGTTTCATCTCCTCGGGAAGCGGTCTGACCTCTGACACGCATCCGCTAACAACCTCCAGGCTCCAGGCTCAGAGCCCAGGTGCTTGGGAGTGAAGGCACAGAGCACCGGCCAGAAATGACAAGGTGTTGAGTCATATGGAACCTCCAGCCGGACTTTTCTACCCGAGACTCTATTCCCAAAGAGCTATGAAAAGCACGTTGTTCCAGAAGAGGTTGGAGTTCACTCACTGGAGAGCTCAACCATCGGGCTGAACGTCCGTGCAACACCACTTAATTAAATATGCTGAATTCCAGCAGCTCAGATGTTAGAAAATGATTCTTCTCTGGATCGTCCCTCAGTGGGCATTTATAAAACGACATTAGGTTTGGAAAGAAAAAAGCTACATTAGTTTTCTTTGTATTGTGTGCTACCTGAAGGTGAGATGTTGATGTCTGCCTGCCTTACAAAGCTCCCCAGGGCTGAGCATTACAGCAGCCATGGACCCACCTGGCCATCCATAAGTCGTGTCAACCTTTCTTTCTATTCTTTTTTTTTTTTTTTTTAACTTTCAGTGGTGCCGTGGAGGACAGTGTGTGAAATATGGCGACCAAGGCCCCAAGCCCACCCACGGCCATTGGTCAGACTGGTCTTCCTGGTCCCCTTGTTCCAGGACCTGCGGAGGAGGGGTGTCTCACAGAGACCGCCTGTGCACAAATCCCAAGTAAGCATGTCTGCACTTCCTCTTCAGGAGTGATTTCCATGCTGTGAACCTCCCCAACAGGCTGTGTACGGTAATACTGATCTGTACATCACATAGTATTGTAGGAATCAGTGAGAAGGTACAACCACATGGATGGAGCTGGAGGGTATTACGCTGAGCGAAATAAGTCAGTCAGAGAAAGACAGATATATGATTTCACTCATATGCGGAACTTAAGAAACAAAGAACAAAAGGGGAAAAAATAAGAGAAAGAGGGACAAAGCAAGAAACAGACTCTTAACTCTAGAGAACACACTGATGGTACCCACAGGGGAGGTACATGTGATGGGGATGAAGGAGTGCACCTGCCGTGATGAGCACCATGTGATATATGAACGTGTTGAATCACTCTAACATACATCTGAATAGTACACTATATGTTAACTATACTGGAATTAAAAAAAAAAATCACTAAATAGGGATGTCGTTTTAGTCAAGTATTTCTCAAACAGTGGCATCTCTTCGGTATAACTTAAGATGCTTGAAACTACTTGACCATAGCACAGGGAAACAGACCCAGCAGTGGTGTTCAGGAAATGGATTTTTACCACATTTATGTGAAATACCAAGGGTGTGCCTAAAATAAGCAAATCAATCATGAAAGCATAGAAAAATGAGTAAGAATCCGTAAGAGCCACTTTTTATGTGCAAAAAGCCAAATGTTTGGTTTTTCATCCAATATATTTAGCTTTGCAACCCGTGGTTTAATTGTGGCCTTCTGTGAGAAGACACGGCCATCAGAGGTGGTCCCCAGTGCAGTGGGGTGGAGGAGGTTCCCAATCCTTTTGCACCTCAGTTGGTTTAAAACATGAGTCATACGACAGCTCTTGGTCATGTCTTTAATGTGTGACACCCAGTACGTCCCTTGCATTGAGTGGGTACCCTCTCCGGGGTGTGTCCATATGGATTCTAGAGGGGTGAGCAGGGGCTCTTTGCTGTCAGTACCAACCGGCGGAAGGTGACGGCTTCTGAGCCAATGTGCTGACCTGGCCTGGCCGCAGGGAAGATAGTGGTAGAAGGTCCCTCCTCTATGGAGTGCAGGGAACCGCGATGGCCCCTGCCTTCTGCAGGGGTGCTGGGAACCGGCCGTGAACAGGCGGCAGTCAGACCCACTTCCACAACGTAACTTGCCCTAGAGATGTCAGTAACACGGCAGATATTGTTCACGGTAAGAAAGTGCCACGGTCCCATCAGGGTGTGTGTGCTTCTCCCTCGGTCACTGTGAGCCGTTTAACCAGATCTGCTCCTCTCTCCAATGAGCCTAGTTTCTAGGGAGAGGAGAGTCGCTATTGAATGCAAGGTTTCTAACCATTCCAGACCATCGCACGGAGGGAAGTTTTGTGAGGGCTCGGCTCGTACGCTGAGGCTCTGCAACCGTCAGCGGTGTCCGCACAATAGCCTTGACTTCCGCGCACTGCAGTGCGCCGAGTACAACGGCAAACGGTTCCGAGGATGGCGCTACACGTGGAAGCCATACACCCAAGTAGAAGGTAAATCCTCAATCCCTCTCCTGGTACCAGCCTCGTGCTTTGTTATCTGCACTCTTTCAAGAGTGAGATGATCTTAGCTGTGCTGTTCAGATTGACAGTGCTGCTTGCTGTGTGAGGTCACTGCCAGGGCTCTTCGCCTGCCCCACGGCCACCAACTTCTGGTCTAAACTGGACCGGCTGCGTGGTCAGAAATTAGCAAGCAACTAGTAAGGGTGTGCACCATACAGCGAGGTCTTCAAAGAAGTGACAAAGCATTCAAAATACATGATTTTTGGATCATGGATCAATGTTTTCCTCATTACAAATCACAGCAGTTGGTGGTGATATTGCTATAAGCATGTCACCCCATTGAACACTTATTATGGCCAGAGAATGGGAGCAAAACTTTAGCATCATTTGGAAAATCAGATCGTTTTCAAGTGAACTATTTTCAAAAGTCTTGATCTAAACCAAGAAGGTTATTTGCACCGTATGTCCGATTTTAATCTCCAGGTCGAAAGAAAGATCCATTAATCTTAAGATTAAAATACCTTGAACATGGTAGTTCATTTGGCAGTAATTTAAGGAGAAATTCAAAGAATAGCTAGTCATCTTGCTCTTTGAAACTGGGAATACTGAAATACATGAATCTCCTCTGACGTTACCCCTCTCCAGCCCAATAGACATAATGTTTTTTGCTGAGAGCTTGATGAAGTCAGTACAGTCTCAAAGGGAAGTTTTAAGCAGTTTCACACAAAGCATTTTTGGTTGTGTTTTGAACTCCTAAACTCAGTAAAATTTGAGCCGGTGAGAAATAAGTAGGCAGGAGAAAAAAGAGAAAGGACTTTGAAATCAGGGTCAAAATACGTGTGTTACTCTTGACTCCGTGATCTCAGGAAATAAATACATTTATCGTGGAAGCACGTACTCAACTGGATTGTTAGGGTTATTCAATTGGTTTCATCTTATACAATAAAGAAAACATTTGTAGATGAGCCTTGAGCCCATGAAAATTCCTAAGGCAGACTATATTTTCATCATTCACTCTTCCCTTCTTTACCAAGAGGAATGAAGGGAAAAAGTTTCTATGAAAGTCCATATTAATTATATAAATCATAAAATCTTTGAAATAGATTATCAAGAGAGGAAGTCACCTTGATCTGCCATGCTTACGTGTGCAATAATACCTTTATTCTCCACGTTATCAGTGTGTTTCGACAATCATTATATTTATAGAAATCATTATCCTCTGGAGAGTTCACCGAAAAGTTATTCCTTTTATCAGTTCAAAAATACATATTTCATCAAATGCGTTAGCTATTAAGAAATTTGGTGATCATTTGAACTCTTTTATTACATTTTATTTGTGAGAATTTTATATATTGCTCCTAAATGGTAATGACCTTTTGCATTTCTACAAGAGAGTAGTTAATCATACTAGTAGTAGAAGAGTTATGTTGTATTCAAGTCAACAAATATTTATTGAATGCCTACTATGTGCCAACTACTGGGTAAAAAAATAAGGACAGGAAAGGACACAGCAGAGGCAAAATTAATAGTGAAGCCTTATACAAATTAAAAATTAAAGGGAAAAAAACCCAGGCCTCCTGAGACAACCATAAAAAAAATGTCTTTGCAATGAGTATTGTGTGGAAGTTATTTTAAGGGGGGGAAAAAAAAACTTTAAAAAGTCTATCTAAAATTTAGAGCAAAAGTGATCAGAGCTTAAGTATCTTTCTTATTTGTGTTTGTGTGTGTATTTCTTTTTAAGATCAGCACTTATGCAAACTCTACTGTATCGCAGAAGGATTTGATTTCTTCTTTTCTTTGTCAAATAAAGTCAAAGATGGGACTCCATGCTCGGAGGATAGCCGTCATGTTTGTATAGATGGGGCATGTGAGGTAATAATGATCGTTCATTCATTCAACACACGTGTCCAGACAGTGCTTTGTGCCAGGCGGCCTCTAAGGGGCTGAACACCCCAGACATTAAAACCCCACCCTTTCTCTCCGACTCACAGCCTGGTGCGGGGCGGGGGCGGGGGGGGCGGATGCCAGATGAACACACATTGAGACACATGGGGTTTGTTGCAGTCGAGGTGCGTGCAGAGGATGGGGAGCGGGGGAGAGCTGATCCCTTCCTGGAAGCGGATCTGGGGGCTTCACGGGGCTCCTTGGAGAAGGGAGCTTCTGAGCTAGATCTGGAAGGGTGAGTTGGCAGAGGCGTTTGGGGAGCAGACTCCTGTGAGAAGGCGTGGTTTGGTAGGCCCTGACCCAGGCGCCAGAGTACCTGAGGGCAGGCAGGGCTGGGGTGCCGAGGGAGGTGAGGGGGCAGGAAGAGATGCTCAGAGGGTTTGTATCCTCACATCAGGGAGGAGCAGGCCCTGGGACCCGGGAGGAGCAGAGCGGGGGTGAGCCTGCAGTAGCATGGGCAGCAGCGAGGATGGGGGCAGCTTTGAACCCGGGGACCACTTGGCATTGTGCAGGGGTCTCTTTGGTGGAGGGGCTTGGAAGAGAGGCTGGGAAAGTTTTGGTGGCTAAGTGGCCCTAGAGCCCTGAGCTTGCTGCCCCATGCAGAGGTGAGATGGGGAAGGAACTCTGGTATATGCAGAAAGTGAAATCCTTACCAGATCAAACACACTGCATGTGAACATGGGTTTTTCCTTGAAGTGACTCGGGTTGCATACCGAGTCCAAGGACCTTGGGCTTCCTTCTAAATTTCTCTAAGTTGGATGACCGGGTCTTTACCCTGAGACATCCCCTCAGGGTAATCCCCTGACACACCCAGTGTCATCCTTTTTAGTAGGTGAAGATCGACTCTGTTCTATCAAGATTTCTTTCAGCTTTAAAATGTTCAGATCTCTGTTCATTTTGTCTAATTACTAGTTGACTTGTTAAATACTTCATTATTTTCAGGTATCCTTAATGAGACAGTGTCACAATTCTTTACGTGTAGTTCTGAAATCCCAAAAGCTATCAAACAGAAAGTTTACTGGGCTGCACAATGTAAGCTGCCCTGAATTTGTTCACTGGCCAAAACCTGCCCTGAACTGATATGAGACTTTTTTTCAGTTTTATTTAGTTCGCTTAGAGTGATGATGTTTGCATTTTGATGAAATGAAGAAACATCATTTATGTGCTTTATTAGGGGAGCTGCCCTGGGCCCTGCTGGGACTCTCACATTATATGCATAATATGTTAATTACCTTCCTAAAATCCAAAAACACTGAGTTCTGAAATGCATCTGGCCCTAAGGATTTCAAACAAGGAATTGCAGGCTATAATTACTTCATTTCTGAATGGATTTTTTTACTTGTATATACTAAACTCTTTGTTAGGAGGTGTAACACTAGCAGGCACCATTGAGATTATAAAGAGCCCCTTAAGTTCTAAGACAGTAAACAAATACGCCCGTTACATAATTTACTGCTGGGAATAAATCCCATGTGGCGTGTGTTACTTCTCTGCATTGCACACGGCGATACAGAGGCATGGCGGCATGGTCCAGTGGGCCCTCCTGTGGACACACTGCTTGCCATTTCCACTAAGAAGAGCTTTGTGTCAATCTGAAATGCACTGTTCTCTCCAGCATGACACTCTGAGAGGGCTCCAGAAACTGAGGTCATGTAGCCGTACTGAAGAGAACAGGAGTCAGGGTCTCCTCCTTTGGATCCGAGAGTCGAGTTACAGTCTCGCTGTGCACATATTTGGTATCCAATAAATATTTGTGAACTACCCTGTGTGGGTGAAATGTTCTGCTGTCTCGGGGAGGTTTCTCACTGGAGGTTTGTGACTTCGCCCTTGTCGTCTTCTCTTGCACGAATGACGTGGGACCCCGGTCCCCCAGAGAGTCGGATGTGACCATGTCCTTGGGTCCAATGCTGTGGAAGACTCCTGTGGTGTGTGCAGGGGCAATAACTCAGACTGCACGACGCACAAGGGGCTCTACGCCAAGCACCACGGCGCCAACCGTGAGTACGCGAAGCTGCCTGAAGGTGTTGAGACAAGATGGAGAGTGGAACTTCCTGGCGGGAAACCCTTGAGGTGCAGTGGGGACAGCAGCTTTACGGGTCCTTCAAAGACCTACACAATCTCCTTACCTGCTTTGCTTGTCAAGCCTTTCCTTTGGATGGGAAGCGGTTGCTAGGTTACTGTTAGTGAAAATGCTAATAGCTCTGCTCCAATTTAAAAAAAAAAAAGAAAGAAAGAAAAAGTCACGTAAAGACCTAATGGAACTGACTGCCTCACCAGAGCTTCTCCTGGTTCCCAATGTGGATCCTCAGGTTTTGGTGGTGGGGAACCCCAGGTGCGTAGGGATTTCACCTCAGTGTTACTGAATGAGAAACCACGTTCTCCCTGCTCCTGATTCCTTTACTGTAGAGTATTATCAGATGGTCACCATTCCCCCTGGAGCCCGGAGTATTCGCATCCACGAGATAAACGTGTCTACCTCCTACATCTCTGTGCGCAACGCTCTCAAAAAATACTACCTGAATGGACACTGGACGGTTGACTGGCCCGGCCGATACAAGTTTTCAGGCACCACGTTTGACTACAGACGGTCCTCCCACCAGCCGGAGAGCTTAACCTCGTCTGGACCAACCAACGAAACACTGGTTGTGGAGGTAGACTCCAGCCTTCTCATCTTCGGGCTGGGATGCGGGGGTCTTCTGGCATTGGTGCAGATCGAGGGCTATGGGAATAATTTTAAATACAGAGAATAATGTTTACAACTTGATGGCATCTCAGAAACAAGACTAATGGGCACATTGAATGGGGCCATGGACTGGTTCTCTTTCCTTTCTTGGGGCCTCACCAAATTTGTGTTTATGCACATCATGCAGCTCCTGTTTTGGGTTCTTTACAGTGGATTTTTACAAAAGTCTGCCCCTGTCCTGTAAGCTCTCTGATTGTGAAAAGCTGGGACACTCGGGGGACTCTGCCTGTGCCTGTGTTTGGGGTGGGATCAGCATTCCACCAAATCCTGTGGAATGGGAGCGAGACGAGCACCCAGAAGCAAAGCCCCTGCTGTGCCCTCAAATGGGCCCCGGTGTGCAGGATGGGGGCCACGTACCCGCCTCCTGACCCAGTGCCCTTCCGTTCTCTACCCACGACCGCAGAGGCTCACAAGCTGCAATTAGTCTCTTCCTACAACATGATCTTTCCCCATGGGATTGGGCAGATGGAGGTGGCAGGCACTGGATATGCGAACTCCTTATATTTTGTATTTCTGTGCATGGTTAAAGCACGTGGTTCAAAAGTTGCCCCATCAGCCCACAACTGGGTACACAGATGTGAACCCCTCAGATGTCCCCCACCTGCTTTGGGGGCCAGGCAGCCGCCTCCTGTCGTCTCGTATCTTCCTGGGAGATGCTTCCCCCAGCGATCTGGGGGCAGTCGCCCCATCTGCACACATCCCACCTCTGTCTCCCGTCCTGACCCTGAGCTGTTCTCCTCGCCCTGAATTCTTGCCCTGATTATTTCTCCCACCATCTCAGGCTTCAGCTGGAATAATCACACAGAAAGAGAGATAGGTCAAGTGTGAAGATGAACATGGCTTATTAGGAACTGTTCTGGATGGAAGAAGAGTTGCAAAGGCTCAGGATGCCAGGCAGGAGAACATCTCAGTGGCCTTGCCGCGTGCAGCCAACTGTCTGGGGCTCTCCCCTGTCCTACAACACCTTTAGCAACTAAGACTTGACCTGTGTTGTCAGGGAGGGGAATGCGGTGCCAGGTTGTCAGGGAAGGGCCAATATCTTTACCCACTGGCACATCACATCAGGACCAAGAAAAGCTCTAAGACTCAGAGATGGGATTTTTATCAACGGATTAATGGTGAGGTTTCCAAAATAAAAAGCCTTCTCACTGAGATCAGTGGATCTGATACATTCATGGGTGAAAGGGAACTGGTCCAAATGATTGGGTTTCAAGCTAGGAGGTGAGGATTCCAAATGCAAGGTGCCAAGCCACGGCTCACAGAGAGGCTCAACCTGAGAGATCTTTACTGATAGATCTTTACTGTCTATCTACGGATAGAAAACTATCTTGTTTTCTTCTGGATCTACAGGGTGCGTGCCACTTGGCAAAAGACCTCTGCATCCGGTCACACTAGCAAGTCCTCTGACTTGGCTTTGATGGTGGCATGGGTGATACCCATTCAAAAGTCCTGGGCTGCTTGGAATCACTAGGAAGTGGGACAGTGCGTTATAGGCATTGCTTTCTGATTCTCTCAGACAGACAGGATTTGCGGGGGATCCCAAGGAAACACTGGGGGACGTAACCAAACACTTCAGTTAGGTTGCAAAGGTGTTCAAAGTCTTGCATGGAGGAATATACTAAATGTTAGGCCAAAGAGTAGAATGTCTACATTTTTCTTTTTTTTTTTTTAAGATTTTATTTATTTATTTGACACACAGAGAGAGCGAGAGAGAGAGAAAGAGAGAGAGAGAGGGAGGGAGGGAGAGAGCACGAGCAGGGGGAGCGGCAGGCAGAGGGAGAAGCAGGCTTCCTGCATGAGCAGGGAGCCCGATGTGGGGCTCGATCCCAGGACCCTGGGACCATGGCCTGAGCTGAAGGCAGCGGTTTAACCAACTGAGCCACCCAGGCGCCCCAGAATGTCTACGTTTTTCTAAATGAGCCTGATTCTCGACGGCAGTTCACTTCTGTTTAAAAAGTTCATATACATTTTGGAGGACGGACAGTGTTTCTCATTGTAACGAACGGATTGTTGATACTGTTTGCGTATTATTTAAAAATAAGCTTATATTTATCAGTTCCATTAACTTGCTCTATTTTCCCCCTTTTTATTTTACAGCTTCTGTTTCAGGGAAGGAACCCAGGTGTTGCCTGGGAGTACTCGGTGCCTCGGCTGAGCGGGGAGAAACCTGGCGGCCAACCTCGCTACACGTGGACCATCGTCCACTCTGAGTGCTCCGTGTCCTGTGGTGGGGGTAGGTCACTTCTCACGCCTCCCTGGTGGTGGGCACTGAGGGGCCCGGGTGCATTCGGGCCGCGGGCGCACTGCGCTCACGGGTCCTCACCGCGTCCTGGCAGGTAGCCTGTTCCCAGACGGGGAGCAGAGAGCAGGGCTCTGAATGTCCCTCGAAGGCCTGGCCTGCCTTCTCCCATCATGTACGTCAGCGTGTGGCTCTGAGGAAGTCATGCACCGAATTGGTTTCTAATTTCCATCTAAGTGAAGATTTGATAAACAGTAGTTTTGTTATGTGAGATTATTGAAATGATAGTCACTCCAGTTATTATACGTATCGTGTTGGTGATGAGAAATAGAAGCTTATGTTGAAAATACTGTGATACAGATGGAGGTTTTTGTCTAATGGTCTTGCTCAAAAAATATACTATGAAGTCGTATATTGAAATTCACCCAGAAACCATAGGAATTTTATGCAAATTGCAGTGAAAATGACTAGAAACAGCATGTCAGAAAGGAGAATTTCACATGACAGTCGATGCCTTGGTATTCTTAATACCATTTGAATTTGACCATAAGAATGTCTAAATTGGTAAAGGTAGCTCACTACAGGAACGTTCTCAGCTAGAGCCAGACATACTGTCTGACAAAGAGCGGTGAGTAAATTTTTCAAATTTAGATACACAATACTCAATTCTACCTGATATTTTGAAAACAAGTTTTCATATGGGTATACAGATTTCAGCTTTGTGAATTCCAGTTTTTAATAATTAAGAAATTAATTTAGACAGTTGAGATTTAAGTAAAAAGGTACACAAAATGGAGACTTGCATGAAGTAAGAATCTAATGAATAAAGAAAAAGTAAAACTGAATTCATATATTCTTAATAGTTGCTCTAATAAAAGACATAAAAGAAATAGAGAAAAATAAAGATTAACAAAAAATCATAAGTATGGACAGGTGACACTAATGTGCTAATTCTCCCCATTATTAACTAAGACTAAAATATTGAAATCCTATTTAAATTCTGACATTAAGAGCTTCCTAAGGAAAAATCTGATTCCCTTCTGCACACAAGGAGAGCAAGCGAATGACTTTAATTACAAAATAGAGAGTAGTATAGGGGCCCCTCATGGGGGACGGGGCCAAACAAGCCACCATGTGCCACCACTCAGGCAACAGAGGAATAGAACTATGTTCACAGGCATCCCCTGTGTATGACGTGGGAAAATTAATTTCAATTATACTTATTTCTCTTCCCTTTCTCTTCTGATTTTACAACCATCCCTCATGCTTTCACAGATTATATTGAATATATAGTTGATTTTATCCATCCCTATTTAGAGATATCTAATAGAGTTTGATTAAATTAACAACTGACTCAACAAAGCTTTATATTTGTGCGAGGACATTGTGATTTTCAGAACTCTTCCTGGTATGTTTTCATTTGGTGGAAAAAAATAGAAAGAACTGCATGGGAACGTCTGCAGAGGATGGCGGCTCTGCCCCAGGGGCAGCTTCACTCGTGGCCCCTGTTTGCGTGTCAGGCATTCCGAGGAGCGCTTGGTTTCTCAGCTCTTACTGAGTTACTTGTCTCAGGATCCCGAAAACGCTGAATGTGTGGTTAGTGTACTTGCAAATCACCTAATTAGCCCTCAGGAATAATTCTCACATTGAGGTTTTTAGAAGAAATCAACCCAGAACCCATTCCATAACCATTTGCTTAAAGAATTGCATTATCGAGTCAGTGAATGTGTTGTTTGTTTTCAGTTTGGGTGGAAAAAATTGATGGGAAATTAGGGTTTGTCAATTCAACAACTAGATGGAGGGCAGGGTGCCCAACCTTCAGCACCTCATGTAGGCTGTGACTCCTCTGAGAGTTTTCCTGGTAGAAACTGGACCTGCCTGGGTCCCGAGACTCAGCACGTGGTCCAAGTACCCCTCACTGGCCACATGGGAACCCTCAGGAAGGGTTACACCGGACCTTCCCCTGTTTCTGTGAAAGGAAACAGCATGCCTTCACTCTCCTGCTCTCTCAGGGCCGCCCCTCTCCAGGACTGATTCTCCAGAGAAGCAATAGGACAGTGAGGAAAACACTGTTGTTGCCATTTATTGGGTACCTGCTGTGTGTTGTCACACACCGGGTCTTGCGGAAACCCGCAGCAGGGGTTGAGAGTGGAAACAGGACGTGCTTGCTGGGGGCAGCTCTGGGCTGCAGGAGGGCACCATCCACAAAATCTTTGCAACAGCCTTTCATGTTTTTGAAGCTGTAAGGTTTTACAAGTATCAATGCTTGGAAGCAATAATTATTCATGTCTTGGAGGTCTTGGTATTATTTCCCCTCATTCTGTAGAAACCAGAGGTTCAGAAGTTTCAGGAATTCCCCCAAATGATCCAGCAGGCAGTGTGAATTCAAACAACTCCACTGACCCCGTGCGCTTCCCACCACGGCCAAAATCCCAACCGTCCCCGTTGCTCATAGGCTATTGTCCGTTCACATTCTTTAACAAAGATGATTCTACTGGGAAGCACAGTGATTTCAGCCTGCGTCTTCCCTTCACAGTGAGCATTTGCTCATCGATGGGAACGGTGGTCCCCGAAACAGAAGCCTAAGAGGCAGCGAGTAAGATCCCCCTCGTGGATCAGTAGTGCTTCCTTTCATGACCACTTGAAGGTCAAGGCTTGGTCCTGTTCAGTCCTAACATGCGCTGTTTTTTGATCCATGTTTGATGGACCTGTCAGACCTCCCCCAGTAGTCTGAAATCACATGGTTATTTGCCAAGGATTAAAGACAAGGATTCCTTTTCAGGTAGTAGGGGCGTTTAGTTCCCCAGACTTGATTACCAGTGGTTGTCTTGATGTTTTGGTGTTTCAGGATTTGATGGTATCTGATGACACACATCTTCTGGAGATAAATCCTTAGTTACTTTAGGTTTATACAATATTTTATTCATTCTGTGCTGTTGGATCCTCTGACTTCTGAAAGGTAGGCCAGGGTTTTTAAAATCTGCATTATCTGAAAATAGCACATTTAACTGAATGATTAACATTGGAGGCTGACCATTCAAAATGAGTCCGTTCTAGTGTTTTCAGCTTTGCGAGAGAATAACTAAATTCACCAGTGGATCTGATAAAGAGCATTTGATTCCTGTCTTCCTTTCTCGGGGACCTCGGTCAGCACGTGACCCAACATTCTCAACCCAAGCCCCCAGGACAAAGGAAAGGAATGGGCACCAGTTTCAGTTTATCTGCCCGTGTTGTGTTTTCAGGATCTCTAGTTGCACAGACCTTCCGACATCCCGGATTGTGAACTTTTCAAAGCATACTTTTCTTAGCTCTCTCCCTGTGAACTTAATATCTATAAGGGGACCTTTAAATGACCCAGTTAGAGAATTAATGAACTGAGAAAGACACTTGGAAACCACCCCACCTCTTGTTTCTTTCAAGAAACATGCATTACCTGTCATCAGTGGAGGAAACCTAATGGTTTTTGTTTTTGTTTTTGTTTTTGTTTTTAAGAAGTGTCATTTTCTTCTCTATTCTAATGGACCCATCTCTCTCTGGAAAACAAGATTTCCTGACAGACACAGGGCAGGTCCGACCATTCATCTTCTTTCCTCTCGAGGTTCCCCAGCTCCTTTTTCCTTTCCACTCACTTTTATGATATAACCACATTTATTTCAATGAGACTGTTCAGTTGTGCCTTGACTGGACTCTCAGCCAGTGTCTGGGCATCAGTGAGGGGTCTGGCCTTACACAGAGAGACAGGAAGCCAAGATTATAGTTCGCATAGGAACTGGCTTAGCTGATGATGTCTGACTCTAAGGTGGACACTGTTTTCACATGGTAATGACATCACTAGACTCTCGTTTCCAATGTAAAGGCATCAGCCATTTCTCAAAATTAGAGATGCTATTATTTTTAAAAATCAGCCTCTGATTCCCTTGGTTCACTGCATTTCAAATAACTAATCTCAAACCGCTGATTTGCTTCCAAGTGAAATGCTTATTAAAATTTGGCTTATACCTATGTTCTAAACTCTCCACTATGCTCCGTGCAATGTCTGGGGATAATGCTTTCGGTTTGAGTGAAAATATTGGTCTGATTCACAATTAAAATTTCTCAGACAAATCTTAGGGGCGCCTGGATGGCTCAGTTTGTTAAGCATCCCACTCTTGGTTTTGGCTCAGGTCATGATCTCAGGGGTGTGAGGTCAAGCCCCGCATCGGGTTCCACGCTCAGCAACTCCTCCCACCTGCCTGTCCTTTGCTTCTGTACTCGTGTTCTGATTTAATCCTTGGCGAAAAAGCCGTGAGACATCAGGTGTTATTCTCCTTCTGATAATGCAGAAATGGAGGTAAATTCCAGACTAGGACTTGAAAGGATAATTTTATATAAGCTCTCGAGTCTGTCTATGCAGAATGCCCGGGATCTGGGCACAGCAACTGCATGGAAATGAACAAGTGAAGATAAAAGAGTGTATATTCTGCTTTCCAGGTCCCATCATTCCAACATGGCTGTGGGATCAAACTCCACTTGGATTTGTTTATCTTTGGTTTTGAGTCTCTTTTGTACCAATTTCCTATTTGTAAGTTTTCTCGTTGTTCTGAAATTCTCCTTGGGTCTGAGGAAAGGACTTGGTGCCCCTGGTTTGATGTTGCCTGAGTCCTGAGCGTGTCTCCACCATGCTCACCGATGCTGAGCTCCGGGACGCCCCCAGGCCACAGGCCATGGTCCCCAACACCCCAAATCAGGACCACCGTCAGTTTCTTTGGCCTTGTTACACCTGGCCTGGGTATGGTCTGTTTTTGCTGTTTGCTGCATTCTCTCTGTGTTTAGGTTCTGTGACAGCCTGAAAACAGACTTGGGGCGTGGTAGGTTGTGGCTTTTGTTGCATTTATTAGCTGCTGAGTCCTCAGGGTCTAGCAATGCATCTGGCACTCACCAGCCGCCAAGGATCTATTTGTCAGGTGGACAAATGCAGGACCTCGATGACTTTTTGATTTAGAAATACGTGAAGG